AGAGGCCTGTCCGCAGCCGCAGGTGGGAGCAGGCCCCGGGAGTCTCTCCAAGAGGCCTAAATGCATGACTCAAGGGCTCCTGGGAGGTCTGCAGGGAGCCAGGGTGGGCACCTGTGCCGACGTGAACCCACGCTCACCTAGGCAGTGTTGGAGCCTGTCTTTGCCTGCAGCCTCTTTTCTGCAGGGCCTGACATGGGAGAGACCCGAGACTTGAGCCACACAGCCCAGCTCTGCACATGTGGGGACTGCAGCAAGAGGCCAGGCTAGTGTTCTCAGACACGGTTGGCAGGGGCCACCAAGCCATAGAATGGTCATCTCAGCCGCAAGTCTTGGGGGCACAGCAGGAGAGTAGGGTCCTAAGTTGCCGTCTTAGGGTGAGGAAGTGCTCTGGTCAGCAGGTAACGTAGCCAGGTGCCCCAGAAGCTTCTGGTGCCGTGGAGATTTTGATGTGGGAAGGACTCGGGGACAGCCCTGGGGCGCCCAGGCAGTGTGCAATGTAGAGCATCAGGCTGCCACGTGTTTGCCCAGCTCCTCCTGTGTGCCGGCGTCTGTGTGGCAGGGCTTGGGGACGCCCCTGCCCTTGGGAGCGTCCCTGGTGCCCGAAGGTGCAGAGCCACCTTCCACCCTGGACCCCTTGCTCCTGGGGAAGGGAAGGAGTGGTGCATACATGGAAGGGCTCCCCAAGAGTGAAGTAGGAGGGAAAGGAGATGGTGCCTGTGGTGGAGAACGGCCCCAAGTCCTGGGATCCTTGGCTCCAGGAGAAAGGTCCATGCAGAGGGGAGGGGTAGGTAGGAACAAGAGGTCAGCAGGCCCGTGGACTGGCCTCTCAGCAGTTCAGGACACAGACCAGCTTGGATGGGACTGACGGAGGAGATCCCCCAGGAAGGCAGGGCACCAGGCCTCACACGCACCTGCAGTGGGGACATCCTCCCTGACAGCCCACACAACCTGTGCCCATGGAGGGGGCTCACCTCCTTTGTTCTCTGCTGAGGGTGACTTTGGAACCCCAGTTCCAGAAGCAGAGAGAAGACTTAGAGGACAGTGGTCTCAGCCATCCAGGAGACCACCAAGTCTTGGGCTCACACAAGGAAAGGGACAAAGAGATTCTCTTGGTGCAGGTGAGCAGGGAGAAAGGAGGTTTGCTGTTTGGGAGGGTTGTGTTGGCGGCGGGCACACTTCAGTGTAGAAAAACAGGCGGGTTGCAAAGGGATCTTGGAAAATCCTCAGCGAGCTGCCTGCTTCCAAGCTATGCTATTCCTCAAGGGATGTCCCCATGTTGTCCAGTGACAATAAAATCCCTGGCCCCAGCCCAGGCCCATCCTGGGAAACCCTCTCCTGGGAAGACTGGCTCCCGTCCGAGGCCAGCCTTCCGGGCACTTCCTCGGCCGGCTGGAACTTTGCTTGCCTTGCGGGCTGGACCTGGGGTGGCCAGTTTGGGAAGCGTTGTGGTGAGATGTGGAAGCAGAACCATGTGCTGTCGGCGTTAGCACCTGGGCCTAGAGAGGCACGTGTTAAGCCTCAGCTTTCAAGAGCCTCCAAAAAGTGACTCCACGTTGGGAATTGTGGCAACTGCTCTTTGGAGGTCTTGGGGCTTATATCCTGGGAATGACCACTTGCCCAGCGTGGTGTGGAGCTCCCAGTTCTCACCCGCTGAGGTCTGTGGTAGCAGGTACTCCAGGCTTGGCTCAAGATGGGACCCTTCAATCATGAAGCTTGGTGACCAGTAGTTAGGGACAGGTGGCATTAGTGAGGACGCTCTCAGTTCAAATGATTGAGACCCAGCTCCAGGTACAGTAGCTCCACCAACCCATAGTTTTGCTTTCTGTGAGGTCAACCACTGTTGGAAAATATGACGGTATTTTGAGAGAGAAACCACATTCACTTAGCCTTTATTAAAGTGCACTGTTATAATTTTTATTTTACTGTTTATGATAATCTCTTACTGTGCCTAATTTATAAATTAAACTTCATCATTGGTATGTATGTATAGGAAAAAACATAATATATACAAGAGTTTGGTCCTATCAGCAGTTTCAGGCATCCACTGGGCGTCTTGGGATGTATCGCCCATAAACAAGGGGGACGTATTAAGGGGGCTGTAAATGAACAGGGCAGGAAGTTCATTGGCTCATTGCAATTAGGCAGTCCAGTGGATGGCCCAGCTTTAGTGCACCTGGAACCAGGTGCTCAAATGATGTAAATCAGGACTGAGTCTCTTTCTCTCTCAGCTTCGCTCCTTCTTTATTGACTTAACTCTTGAGCCATCTCTTTCCATGTGTCCCCTGCAGTTCCTGGTTTATGTGGGACTTAGGGTTCAGGTCATCAAAGCACCCATGTCAGTTCCTAAAAAAGCCCCTTAGTAGCCTTGCTTGAGTCACAGGCCTGCCCCTGAGCCCTCAGTGTCCAGAGAGATGACAGACCAGTCAAGGTGAGTGGAGGAGGCAGGCCACCCGGCCCAGGGAGATGGGCAGCCTGTCCTGTGACCTGCAGCCAGGGTCCCTGCGGAACAGCTAGAACTGGGGCTTCCTGGCAGACTGCTGGGGGTCCTGAGAGCATTCCCCTAGAGACTCAGAAGGGGAAAGACATCCCAGGCAGAGACCCCTGCAACATCCATGCCCTCTGGATGCACTGGGGGCTGCATTAGCTACAGCCTCTTAGCAACCCAACCCCGTGGCCTGGCCTTCAGGGAGGACAGCATCGCTGCTCCAAGCAGCCCCCTCAGTGCCCCGTGGGAGTTCACAGTGGGCATGGAGACAGGGCCCTGGGGACTCCTTGACCAGCTAGCAGAGCTCAGGCTCTTCCTGGGTCAGCGGTGGACAGTAACACCCTCCCACGTGTCAGTGAGTAAAGGTCCTGTTGGTTGAGATGCCAGACACCCAAGGTGCCAGTAGAGGTTGGGGCGCTCCCTAGGTGCCAAAGACCACCTCTTCCAGCCTGACCTTGGCCCCAAGGCGAGCGTCCATTGCCCACTGTAGCTAGCTCTCAAGGGTATGTCATGCCCCAAGCGTGGCCCAGGCCCTTGCTGAGTTCCCAGAAATACAAGCCACCTGCAGTCTCTCTCATCCCCCAGATGTGGAGTGAGTGCAGGTGTCTGGTGCTCTGATAGCCACTTGCAGACCAAGAGGCTGGGGAAATGGCTGTCAGAGGTGTAATAGTCTGACATGCTGCCGGCTGCTGCCTGTCCCCAGGAATGGGTGCCAACACATGCCTCTCACCATGAGTCGCTCAGTGACTTCAGTTGTTCTCTCTTTGAGGTCAAGCCTCCCTTTTTCCATGACCCAGAGAGCCATTCAGTGTACAGAGTATGCCCACCTGCTCTCTTCCAGCCGGGCTGGTGGGCCCAGTGCAGGGTGTCTTGGGGTCTCTGGGGTAGAGCATTTAGGTGAGAATTGGCACGGTCCTTGCCCTGGGGATTGCTCGCCTAGCTTGGTCTCGCAGAGGCGTAGCGTTAGGGGTGAGGGGCCAGCCTGCTTAGGTTCAGGCTTTGGAGTGAGAGCGGGAAGGAGAAAATTGGGATCAATTCACCTGTGGCATCACTTCACCTGCAGTGGGGGCACATCCTCAGTTCTTTCTGACTCCGATGGCTGTGACTCGCTGGCCCAAGCTGTCTTTTAAGGCTCGTATGGCTGTGTCGCAGGGAAGGCCTTGGTCTCTGGGAGGAAATGGGCACAGAGAGCACAGGGCCAGGGCTGGGGTTGTCGAGAAGGGTCCTGTTGTCCCTTCTCTCACCCAGGCAGAGAGGAACAGAGTCTGGGGGCCGTGCTAGGCAGCCAGGAGGAACCCTGGATCGTGGTGGCTGAGCCTACAGCTCAGAGACACTTGGGCCAACCCCTCTCCACAGAGGAAGGAGCTGAGACCTCAGAAGGGCGTGACCCAGACGAGCCCCTGAGCCACACAGGGGCCTGGCATGGTGTGGGCTCTGCAGAGCTGAAGTTGCAGGACTCCCCAGAAAGGGTGGGGGGCAGAGGGCATTCAGGACTGGACCACTGGCTACTAGCAAACCCAGGCCTGCCATATGGGGCAGGGAGGACCTAGGAAATGACCCTGGGTTCTAGGGGACAGGCTGCTGAGGCCTCCCCTGGCTGTGCAGTGCTGGGGCTGCTGGTCTCGCTCTGCCCCTCCCCGGCGTCTTCACAGCGGCCGTCGGGCAGCCTCTGCCGCCCAGCGCTCAGCACAGCCGGGCTGCCTGGGAGGACACCCAGTGCTGCCCAGGGAGAAGCCCTGGGGTCTCCCGACAGGAAAGGGAGAGCTCTGCCACGAACAGTAAAAGGGAATCAGTGCCACGTTACATTTGGGGACAAAGAAGTGTCCGACGGGGGAAGGGGTTAGGGCCCTGTGGAGAGCACCTTCCAGGAAGGGACTGAAGGCGTTCGGCAGAGTCCCAAGACCTGGGAGCTCGAGTGCCGTGCTCAGTATATGTCCGAATGAATTAGCCTTTATCGTTTGGCCGTTATTGTCAAGGTCACGTGAGGACGCAGTGCCCGCTTACTGACTGAAACGTCCACACACAAGAAGTGCAGCTGTGCGTGGCACCGGTGTGCGGGCACCACTGACCCGTGGCGGGGAGAGGACGCGGTGAGCATTAGGGACAGCCCTCGAGGCTTTGTTCCCAGATGCCTCTGAAAGCAGAGAAGGCGGCCAGACTCTGGCCAAAGCAGTGGTCCTAATGGGCTTCGATGACCATAAATGGTGTCCGCATATGGCCACGGTCCCTGGGCCTTTCCTGCAAGATGATTTTCATACATCAGACACATCATCATTTCCATTTCATTTGTGTAAGTGTGGGTCATGGTTCTTTGGGCCATCTTCTCAGGGAATGCTGGTCTTTTCTGCCTCAGAAGAGATGCAGGCTCTTCACGGCTGGACCTGGGCCAGGTGCCCAGGCTGTCTGGCTCCACGCCCTGCCCTCCTCGCCACTCCTCCCCCCCTCGTCCTGGCCCCCAACCGCCCCTGCCGTCACTGGGCTCTCACGGCCCTGTTCTCTCGTGTCCTCTCTGCAGGCTGGTGGTTCGTGAGCACCTCTGAGGAGCAGGGCTGGGTCCCTGCCACCTACCTGGAGGCCCAGAATGGCACTCGGGACGACTCAGACATCAACACCTCCAAGACTGGGGAAGGTAAGGGCCTGCGGGCTCGGGGGTAGCTAGGTGGGTAATGAGGCAGGGATGGGGCCCTAGGGCTGCCCCATTAGTCCAGTCCTGCTGGGTGCAGCTCTCCTGCTCTCCCCCCAAAACCATCAGAACGCTACAGTGAGTTGGGCCGTATCCCAGCCCCTTCCCTTGGGTCCCATCTCACTGAGGCCAGTCCACAAGCCCACCTCCCACCTCATGTCCCTGCTGGTTCCCACAAGAGACTGAAAACAGAGGGGAAGTTCTCCTGGGCTGTGGACCTGGGGCTTTGGCAACTTTTGGCCAGAGACTCAGGAGCACGTCTTAGGACTAGACCCCCCAGAAAGCTCCTGGGCTCCTCTGGGAGCATCCCATGGAGACCTCAGTTCCCCTAACCACACTGCGTTCTCTGCAGAAGGGACAACTCTGAGGGGTTGTGTGCACAGCAACTGCCATGGGTGTGTCCTGCTCCAAGGCCTCTGTACTGGGTGCTGTCAGCTTGGCCAAGGGTACAAACCCGCCAGCTCTGTGAGCCGTTTCTCAGTGGCTCAGGAACTCAGGGGTGGCTCAAGCCCCACACAGCCACTCTGATTAGCTCTGGCTTAGTGAAGATTTGCAGGGTCTCTATTCTTGCATCCCAAAGAGCCTGCCCCCTGGGCCAGCGCCAGCCTGGCCGCCTATCTGTGGACTCAGCATCCCCGGAGCAGGCCTCCTGCACCCAGTAAGTCTGAGCCACACCCAGGTCAGTCCCTGGCCACCTGCCCCTGATGCCTTCCAAACCTCCCGTGGCCTGGCAGCAGGAATTCTTTCCCTAACGGTTGGTGGGGACGATCCAGATGGACATGTCAGAAAGCCAGAGGAATCCAGGCCTGCCACCCGGGGCTCAGGCCACCTCCAGGCCTGCTTCCCCCGCCCACCTCCCTGCTGCCAGGCCAAAACAAGCAGCCCGCCGAGTGCCAGCTCCTTATTCATCCTTCCCCTTGATGCCGGTTACTCGGTGGGCGGCTGGGGCCCCACCTTTCCTCCTGTGTCAGTGCTTCATTTTGGCCTCTGTGGGTTTCCAGGGATGAGCCCATCGGGCTCACGTGTCCAGGCAGGTCTGAGCCTGCACCCAGCTCCTCTCTGGCTCCACCACACCTCTGCAGCAGTGGCAGGCCTTGCACCCAGCTGGGTCCGGTCTGGTTTGCTGCAGCTCCACGTTCTGTAGGGCATCCCAGGGCCTCGCAAAAACAGCAGTGGCTCACACAGTAACAGGTGCTGGGCTAGGTCCTCTAAATGCCCTGCCCTGGAAGGACACCATTGCTGTCCCTGTTTTAACAGCTGTGGGAACTGAGGCTTCGAGATGTTTGGTTATGTGCTTGTCCTTGGAAGGTTTGGGCCCTGGTCAGCCTCCATTGGCCCGTTGTCCTCACCACTGTGCCGCATGCCTCTCCATGACGCATGTAAGCTGTGAAGATAGCTCTTGGTTCAACTCCATCCAGGGGAGTGCGGGTCGGGGGAACCCAAGCCCCAGCTGGAAAGGTTGCAGAGGAAGGGCAGAGCAGAGATGTTGGGTAGATTGGGGAGGACCTGGGCAGAGAGTGGGCAGAAGTCCAGACAGGAAAGAGCCTGAGAGACATGAGCACAAATGCCAGCCTGGTTGGAACAGACAGCAGGAGATTTGCACAGAACAGTGGTAGCAGGTTGTGGCAAATGTCAACCTTGGTGAAGTATGAATGAGGCTGGGCAGAGGCCTCGGGTTCTGCACTCAGAGGTGCATGTGTCCTGAGGGTCTTCTGCACACCTCTGGTAGGGCCTGTATGCCAGCACCCCTGGCAACTTCTGGGTGCTGTGGGGTTCCACCATCACATCTGGGGCATGTCCCACCCAGATCTGCCAAAGGGCTCATGGCTGGGTCCCCTGGGCCTACAACCCCAGCTACTGAGGTGCGTCCACCTGTCTCTCCGCACCTGCAGCCACGTGGCCAAGAGAGTCACCCATCCTGGCTCCCTCTTTGCCCATCTCTGCTCCAGCCCTGGGGCTCTCCCTCTGTAAGTCCCCTGAGCCCTGGAGACAGAAGTTGGGAGGCTGCGTCCTATCAGAGCTCCCCAAGCTTCGTCACTTTGGAAAGAAAAGAGATAGTCGGCTATTCCGGGATTTGCTGTTGTTGTGGTGGTTTTCTGTTTGTTTGTTTTTTGAGCCAGGGTCTCACTGTGTCACCCTGGGTAGGGTGCAGTGGCATCAGCCTAGCTCACTGCAACTTCAAACTCCTGAGCTCAAGTGATCCTCCTGCCTCAGCCTCGCGAGTAGCTGGGACTACAGGCGCATGCCACCACGCCTGGCTAATGTTCTGGTTTATTCTTATTATCAGACACTCTGTGTATGTCTGTTTCTCCTGAAGCCAGGTGTGCTGTGGCGAGATCAGCAATGTTAGCAAGGGCAGGGCGTGGGGGCTGAGCCCCACTTGCCCACTGACAGTGCTGAGGGTCCAAACCCGACATTCCCAAGGTGCTTTAGATCCATCACTTGTCAGAGGTGAGGAAACGGAGGCCAGAAGAGGTGTGTCACCTCTGCTGAGCCCTCAGGTTAGTTTGTGGCAGAGCCAAGACCAGAGCCCAGGCCTCTGCTGAGGAGGACCTGCACTCCTTCTGGTGGGCTTGTATTGGGACACACAGGAACAGCCCACTCACCGGTCAGCCGCTGGTGCTGCTGCACCAGCGGGGACCCGTGAGCAGGTCCCCGGCACCCAGACTCTCCCCTCCCTGCTCTGTCCTGCCTTCCTGCGGTTGGCAGGCTGTGGGGACCAGAGTCAGGGAGGGTCCGTGGGTAAGAGTCTGGTCTCCAGACCCAGACTGCCTGGCTTCACATGCTACCCCGAAATGTAAGGACCAGAAAGCTCCTTAATGCCTGTGCCTCTGTTTCCCCACCTGTGAGATGGGCCAGTGCTAACCACACAGGGCCTTTGTGAGGCTCTAGGTCCTTGTGATATTTTAAACCGGGCCTGGCACACAATGAGTACATGTCACTTGTCATGGACGTGGTCCCTGGTCTGGGCAGTAGCTGGAGCCCCTGCCTCTCCACAGAGAAGCCCCGCCCAGGAGGCCCAGCTTGGGACCTGATTGGTGTCCCCAGAGCCCTTTCCGCCCCTTGTCTTGGCTCATGCCAAGGCAGGTCGTGTCACACTAAGACAGATGAGGAAAGAAGTTTAGGGATGGCAGGCCTCCCAGGGTGACCCAGGCTGCTGTCAGCGGGTCCCAGGCTGGAACCGTCTAGCCTTTTGTCTGGGTCTTGGCCTTGTAAAAGGCATATCTGGTGGGCCACTCTCCTTCTAGGAATGCAGACGTTTTCTGGAAGGCCTCGGTAGGCTTTGGCCCAGGTGCGTCTGGACAGTTTCACGTTCACTCTAACCACTGGCCTCCCTCCCACTCCCTCCCCACCACCAGATCTGGCAGCCTGGCACCCTCCTCCTGCGGTACCAGGAGGTGACGCCAGCCGGCACCCTGTATCCCTGGTGCAGTCTCCCTTCCACCTGCGGGTCCCATAGGAAGGCAAGGGCATCTGGAGCCAGGGCCTGAGCGGAGGGGCGCATGGGGGCTCGGAGCTGGGCCACAGCACCCAGGGGACCAGTGCAGGACGCCACCCAAAGAGCATGGTCCAGGCCAGAGGGCTCTGGAGCAGTGAACCATGGGGGGAGGCAGGGCCCCTGTCATCAGAAATCCCAGTGGTGACATGAGAGAAGGAGCAGAGCTGGGCCTTGTGGCCTCTGTCCACCATGCATTTCATCCAGCAAGCATTTCCTGGGCGCCGGCCATGGGCCGGGCACTGCACTAGGCCCTGGGGTGCAGAGACACAACACAAAGTCCTCGCCCTCGACAGACTCATCTAGTGGGACGAGCGAGAACACGAAAATACAAACCAGCCCAGAGTGGTGGGAGCTGTCAGCCCGAAGAGGAAGGGATGTCAGTGCTCAGTGACTGAGTTGGAGTGAGTCCTGGTGTTGTGGGACCCCAAACCCTCCCGAGAATCAGCACCACCCAGCAACTGGGCACCTGTGATCTCTCCGTCCCTGGGGGCATCAGCTGAGGGGCTGTCCCCACTGGGCTGGAGTTAGGGACCCTTTTCGTTTCTGCTGGGATTCTAAACGCTTTAGCCCACAACAAGGCTCAGAGCATAAGCTGAAGGGTTTAGCTGTGGTTCAGCTTTTTTTCCCATGTGTCGATGATGTCACCTGTCATCTCTGTACCCACCCAGCAGGGCTGTGCCCTTCAGCTCAGTCCAGGTGATGGTGACCTGGGAGCGTGGCCCGCCCTCCATCCCCTCCCCCATCTCATCCTCATCTCCATTCTCTCTGCCGGTTGCTGTCGGCCGCGTGCTCCATCACCATCTCCCACGCCAGTGTCCAAGAGACGCAAGGCCCATCTGCGGCGCCTGGATCGCCGGTGGACCCTGGGCGGGATGGTCAACAGGCAGCACAGCCGAGGTGACCGCGGGAGCTGGCTTCTCTCCCTCACAGCTTACGCCTCCTCTCGCTAACACCTCTCCTCTCTCTGGGCGCTGCTCGCTGCCCCGGGGCGGCCTCACTCACCCAGGTCCCCGGGCCAGACTTTTCTCTCACCTGCTGCAGCTTGCGGGGGGCTGCCTGGGAGTCGGGGTGGCACTGGTGGTGGCTCTGGTTTTTGCCAATGGTCCTGGGCACGGGGAGGTCATGGGATGTGATTATGGGTCCCCTAAAAAGGAAGAGGGGCTGGGGGCGGCAGGAAGGGGTCTCTGGGTGTCCAAGGACGGCCCCATTTGCCCTAGCAGCTGGAGAGTGAAGGTGCTGTGCGAGTCTAAATGGCCACATGGCCTTCCCACGCCCCCTCACTCCTCCTCCCTCTGAGAAAGGGCTCCCCGGCCAAAGCTGCTCTGTCAGTTGCTTGGGAACAGAGTGGAAAGAAGAACCGGCCCACAGCCCTCCTGCTCAGCCGCTCCACAGAAACTAGACGGGAACAACAGGCAGACCTAGCCTGGCACCAGGGCCAGCCCAGCACGCTCTGCTCCGGCCAGGGGCACTTACTGCGAGATTCCGGGGGGCCTGGTGAGGAGGCCCAGGGCCGGCAGGCAGCCAGTTTCTCCTCCCCTCGGGGAGCAGGGCGTGTGCTCCTCACAGAGACGACACAGCTGGCAAGGCGCTCTCCATCCCTGAGCAGGCGTGTGACAGACACTGGCCTTTCTGGAACACAGGGACACCTGTGACTAGCACTATCCCGCCCCCTCCTACCCCCAGCACACACAGGTTGTTTCTAAATGACAGAGCATGTTTTGGTGTCTGCCCCAGGCCTGGGACAGCAGAAAGCCTGGACTCTTGGGTGGCCACAACCTGCAGCTGGCTCGGCAGCAGGCACAGCGCTGACCGTGAGGAGCGCAGCTTGTCCCGAGGGTGGAGCCCCGGCCGGACCTTGAGGGCTGACGTGGGGCGGGGGGCCGAGTTGTAGAAACAGCAGGAACAGGCTGAAGGTAGACCAAAGGCCACCCCAAAGCTGGGAGGGGTGGGACAGCACCACTGCGAGGCTGGCTGGGACGCAGCCTGGGCCTTGGTGGCCAAGGAGAGCAGGATGCAGGCCCAGACACACGGATAAAGGTTTGACCTGCTCCAAACACCCTCATGCTCTGTGCCCCAACACAAACCTGCTCCACAGCCACACAGACACACGTAGCTGGCGAAGTGCTACCACCCATGTACAGCCCTGGTGGCCGCAGGTGCAGTACCCTGTCACATCCAGCCCCCGCAGCTACACAGCCACAGTCCTGTGCACACAGCCACTCACAGATGCGTGTATATGAGGCCACACATCCACTGTGCTGTGTGTGTATGTCGTTCACAGTCACTACTACATCATACACACAGCAAACTGCTCGTGGTCACATCGTATACACTTGTACAGCAGCATCCACAGGTACACAAAGAGCGTCATACGCACAACCCCTGAGACCATAAACACAGGTAGTGTAGTCACAGTCACAGATTGTATATACACACTGTATAATGATACACGAACACACAAATACCCAACTAAATGCATAATTCTACAGTCACTTACATGTAAGCAAATGCAAGCCCACAATTTCTCTTTTTTTTTTTTGAAGCAAAGTCTCACTCTGTTGCCCAGGCTAGAGTGCTGTGGCATCAGCCTAGCTCACAGCAACCTCAAACTCCTGGGCTCAGGTGATCCTCCTGCTTCAGCATCCCAAGTAGCCGGGACTACAGGCACGCACCACCATGCCCGGCTAATTTTTTCCATATACTTTAAGTTGTCCAGATAATTTCTATTTTTTTTAGTAGAGACGGGGTCTTGCTCTTGCTCAGGCTAGTCTCGAACTCCCAAGCTCAAATGATCCACCCGCCTCTGCCTCCCAGAATGCTAGGATTACAGGTGTGAGCCACCGTGCCTGGCCCTCTCTCTCTTAAATAAGAGACCTAAACAACAGAATTGCCCAGCCTTCGCTCTGTGAATTAAGTTAAACCAGGCAGCCAAAGAAAACTTGCAGAGAGATGGCTGGGAGATGCTCACTGCGCACAGCAGAGGTGCTGGGGGACAGGCAGTGGGCCACCAAATAACCAGAGGACAGGAGTGCGCCCCACAGCCTCCACGCCATTCCCTCAGCCAGCCGGGCCCTTGGAACCAAAAGGCCTCTGAGTGGCGCAGGGCGAGTCGTGGGGACGGGAGTGGAGCCAGGGAGACTGCTGACGGAGGGAAAGTGTTGGGAATGCAGCGGCCACTGTGGTTTGGAAATTGCAGGACACCCAGCCCCTGCCTCCCTAACCAAAGCGGGCCTGCCCACCTCGAACCCACCCGGCCAGCCGCCTGGCTGGTCCTCCCCGGGGCAATTGCCACTGTCACTTGGTGGTACCCATGGCCCTAGTGCTTCCCAGGGACCTGAGGAGTCCACCGGAGCTCACAGCCTCCCTCCCCTCAACTCCATTTCCTAAGGGACATCTCTTCCAGAGACCCTGACCAACCTGGATGACTCAGCCACCCACTGAGGCTGTTTCTGTCCCCACAACCACACACGCGCCTAGGCATTTTCTCATTCGAGCCCCCAGATGGGGTTTGTGGCCCTGTTGAGTGGAAGATCTATTGGGACACCCGTGAGTTGGAAGGCCGGAGACACATGTGGCACATGTCCACGTGGGAGGTAGTCCACACTGCTGTCATCTGAGCCGACTGGGGCAAAAAACCCAGGACATGGGAAGAGCCGGTCTGACTGTCCAGCCCTGCCAGGAACCAGGGCTCTGAACTCTCATCCTCTGGAAGCTGCATCCTCTGGCTGCAGCAGGACCTGTCTCCCAGCTTACCAGGAGCACATGCTCTCCAGGACACCTGTGGCTGCCACAGCCCAGAGGACGCCAAGAGCAGGGCCTTTGGCAGGAACAGCTCAACTTTACTGGCCAGAACCTATATCCTTGGTTCTGCCCCCATGACCCAAGAGGTCGGGAGAAAACAGGAGCCCATGGAACATGCTGGAGGAACTCCGTCGTCCACAGGTACCCTGCGAGGCTGGGGCCTGGCTGCTCGAGGAGGCCGAGCCCACACGGATGGTCTCTAGGCCCTGTTCTCTGCCATGAGGCAGGGCAGGGCTCCTCTGATCTTCCCATGAGAAGGGCTGTCATTTTTCTCTGCAAATGCAACCTTGCCTAGGAAAACTTTAATGATGGCTTCCTGCTGGAACCACAGACTTTTAAAAATAGCCCAGTGAACAAAGGCAAAATGCAGAGCCCAAGCTTCGCCTCACCCTAGCCTCAGAACCCTGGATTCCCTCAGCCTGGCGCTGCCCCGCTGGCCGCCACCCGGGCCAGGATTTACCGTGCCCCACTGGAAAATGGAGCAGGACCAGGAACAAGCAAGAGAGCAGAGCGCTGGACTGTGAAGTCCTGAACTTCTCAAAGGCCCGAGTCAGAATCTGGCGGGGCTGGGTTCTCAGGCGGCCTTGGCAGCGGTCGGCGGCATGGCCGGGTTAGAATTGGAAAGCCTCCGGGAGTGGGGCCTCTGAGTCGGTGCTGAAGGTCTGCGGCGCAGAAGCTCGCTGAAGAATTGTGCAGGCTCCCACGGGCCATCACCCACCTTTTGCTTTTGGGGAGCCTTTCGCATTGGGCCAGTGTCCCATCAGTTCTATCCTTGTGGCCCAGCAGGGCAGCACATCCACCCCAAGGGGAGCTGCTGTCTCAGTGCAGGGCTGCGCACAGAACCCTGATAACCCAGGGGAGAGTGAAGAGATGGCCCTCCCCGGCATCTGACCTCCCCCGTCACTGCCAGAGGCTCAGGCAGGGTGCCTGGCAGCGTCCCGCAGAGGGGCCCAGGAGTGGTTCACACAGCGGGGAACCAGGGGACAGGGTGCTCTGTGCCAGCACCCTGATGTTTTGCTCTCACAGAAAGCTTCTCACTCAACACCCTTGCTCAGCCCTGCCTCCCCCTTCACCATGCAGCCGACAGTCTCTTCCTCCTCCTGTCTGCCAGGCCCCGTCCCAGTCTCTGTGGAGCACCTGGGCCAGAGAGGACAGCATAGGTTCAGGTGACCCTTCTGAGGACATGGCCAGATTGCCAGTTCTTCCCCTTCTGTCTCTGCTCCTCGTTCTCCCAGAGGTGAAGGGGGGGGGTGTGTTCTACTGTGAGCTGTCCTCCAGGGCGGGCCTCACCAGGAGGCAGGGGTCTTTGGCCAGCCAGCTGTGGGCAGAGCTGGGGCATACCCAGCCCTGGGTCTACCTGTCAGGGGCTTCCTGGGACAGGCACAGCAGATACAGAAAAAACACCTCCCTGGAAGCCTGATCGAGAACCCAAGTCGCAGGCACCAGGGCTCCCTGCCAGGAGGGAGGCTGGAAGAAACCAGGCGAGATGCTGAGGGGCCCCAGCCTCCCCACACCTGCCCTTCCAAGCTCTTCCTGAGATTCCACACGGTGCCTCTTTCCCAGTGCCTTGGGAAAACCTTGAACCAGACCTTGAAGTCACATCCGTGAGAACAGAGCAGGTAGTGCCCAAGAGGGGCTCTGCAGCAGCTGCACAATCGGGTCAGCACACCATCCTCTGGAAGGTGCATGGACACACAGCCCAACTAAGGGCCCATGATGTCCTGCCAGATTCTGTTGCATTTAGCGTTTCCATGCTCGTTTGGCCATAGGACCCTTAACAAAGCACATAGATCCACTCCCATAAATCCGTTCTGTGGAATCCTTTGGGGAAATTACATGTTCAGATGTTAACAGTGGGCCAGGAGCTCAGGGAAAGCTTCACCAAGGGGGTGCCCAGAGCCTGCGAAGGTCAGACAGAAGAATGTAAGAGGTTGAGATGGGGGCAGGGCTGGGAGAACACGTCGGGGACCCAGGTGGAAGCATGGCACCTTCGGAGGAGGGCTATGCCATGCGCCTCAAGGCGTCCAGAGGACACCCAGCATTGCTCTCAGACTTCCCAACTCCGGCCCCTCCCGAGAAGTGGGTTCCTCCTGCCCTCAGCCCAGCGGGCTCCTGGGGCCTCTGGACTGCAGGTCCCGGCAGCCCAAGCGCTGTTCTCAGCTAGGGGAGCTGACTCTGTGCCGCCTGCGATCTTGCCAGGCAACCTGGGGTCCTAGCTGGGTATGGCACACACTGGGGGCAGCAGTGACCCTGCCCCCCTCCCCACTGCCACCCCTGAGGCCTGGTTCTTTTCTGGCCTGGAGAAGCCAGGCCGACCCCGTGCTCCTTGGCAGGCAGCTGAGCAAGAGGAGTGGGCAGGAAACAGGACCTCCACCCAGACCGCAAATAATCCCGCTTTCTTCTGTCCACCCACCCACAGAGGAGAAGTACGTCACTGTGCAGCCATACACCAGCCAGAGCAAGGACGAGATTGGCTTTGAGAAGGGCGTCACCGTGGAGGTGATCCGGAAGAACCTGGAGGGCTGGTGGTACATCAGGTAGGAGACCTGGCAGAAGAGGAGCCGCCTCTCTCCCACCTGGGCCCTGGGCAGAGTGCAGAGTGGCTGTGGCCCCCGATGGCAGGTTGATGCTGACAGCAGCTGTGCACCCAGGGCACAGGACTGGCCGCTCCGACTCTGCACAGCTGAACCGCTCAGCCAGTGTTCACCTCGCAGACTCTCTCCTGGGACCCGTAAAGCAGAGCTGGAGCCACGGCCAGCGGGGCACAGAGGCCCCGGCTCCGCTCGCAGACTGTGGTGCAATCCCTTCCCACGCATCTGCCAGGAGAGCTCAGCACATCTGAATTTGGTTTTCCGCGTCCGGCCTTGGCTTCCTGGCCTGTCCCACAGCGAGGGCTGCCTGGAGCGCTGGCGTCCACAGGCCTCGCTGGGGTCCCAGCAGGCAGCCTCTGCTGCCCAGCCTCAGCGCTCAGCCCCGAGGCGGGCTTCTGACAGCACGGCCCTGGTGGATGGGGCCATCCGTCCATTCTGCAGGGCTGGCTGCAGCTCAGACCATCAGGGGCCTCCTCCTCCTCCTGCCCCTTCCTCTCCAAGGGCCTAATCACACTGCCCAGCTGGAAAACCCATTCGGGGGTGTGGGCAGGGGAGAGGGAGATTTTCTGACCCCCTGGAAGCAAACTAAACCCTGTAGGCTTCACTCACCATTAACTGGCCAAGACCAGCCTTTCAGGAAATGCTGCTTGTGCCTTTGGAGCTGGCTCAGCTGCGGTGGCTTTGCACAGCTGACAGCGACAGTCCCGTATCTGTGGGCTCAGGAGACCACGGCCTCAGCTACCACACCTGGGAGACCCAGCACCCGGTGAGCAGGGTGTGTTCTGAGCAGTCTCCCATACAGGGCACAGAGTCGTGCTGTGGTGCCCCCGTGACTGCCGTGATGCACACACTCGTGGCACAGTTGCTCAGGGCAGGGTAGAATGTGGCGGTGTTATGTGCTGAGGGACAGGACAAAGGTCACTGGATACATGGAGGTTGAACCTCAGTGTGACCTGACGGGACACAGCTCCACTCCAGCCCCAGCCCTGGTGCATATCTCAGCCCGGCAGAGCTAAGATGTCCCTTTCTGTCCTGTTGCGTGGGATGGGGCTGAGTACCTGGACATGTGTTGCCCAAAGCTACTGCCCTAGATAGGCTCTTATGTTTTCTAAGCAATGGAAACTAGAGCCAACCCAGAAATCCTCCAACCACCAGTCTGACATGGAAAGGCCAGTGAACATTCTGGCAGGCTACTAGTCTACTTCACTTGCCTGGAGGTTATCTACAAGGCTTCTTTGTTTTATTTTTTTAGTCTTCTAAGATTACCGACACGTCACTCTGAGCTGCTTCCACTCCACTCAGATCCCCAGGGCCTTGTCCTATTACTGATGGGAGCCTGGACTGAGTAAACCCTGCTGAAAAGGTTCCACCTTAAGAGGGCTGCCAGATATCCCCTTAAATGTGCCATTTCCCAACATTCCAAGCTCTGTGTTGATCTTCATTTCCTGTCTTTCTTCTCCTCCCTCCACCCCTGCAGACACATACACGCGTGCACCAGTGCACGCGCGGACACACACACACACACCACACACACACACCCTCGAGCTCACGCCATCCCTCCCTTCCCACTTTGCCTCCCTCTGGAGTCATTCCATACTCCCGAGCTGGAAAGCAGATGTGAGCCGAGTTGGACCCAGACACACACAGCCACTCCTGATTCCCTTGCATTTCTCTGCCTGGAGTCTAATTTTATCCATGTAACACTGCAGGAACACAAAGGGCTTTGAATTGGGAGCACTCAGGGCTGTACGCAGGCCCGACTGTCACCTCCAGGAGAAGCCTCTCCCCAATCTCTGCAGTGTTTACACAGAAAAACATCGGCAAGGGCCAGCGGGTTCATCGTCATCCTTTCTCCAGATGCGAGAATGCCAGGCTCTGGGCCAGATGCAGCCAACAGCTAGCTGTGTGACCCTCTGCTTTACTTTTCTGAGCCTTGGCTGTTGGCTCACATGAAGATGAGGCATTTTTACTAGTTGCTCTCATGCCCCTTGAAGTCCTGTGCTTCCGTTTGCACGCATTACAGCGGGGAGCCTGGATGGGCCCTGACTGCCATCCATCTGTTCACACATATCGTCCTTCGAAGGCCCAGGCAGGTGAGCTTGGGACAACCTGCCTGCATGTTCCTGTGACATGAACGTAAAAAGCCACCTCCTACCTGAGCTTTCTAGCAAAGCTCCGACACATCGATAGGAACTTCAGGTTTCGTATTCCTTCTCTCCCACCTAATGAGCGCCCAAGAACAAGGTCAGAGCAAGGATTCAGGGAGGTTTTCAGACATCTGGCATGGAGGAGCCATTCCAAAGCGCCAGATGTGTCCCAGGGAGCAGATGGGGACACTGCAACCCAGACTGGGGGCATCGGCCAACGACTACTGGACCAGGAAGTGAGCTCCCACTGGGTTTGGGTGAAGGCTCAACACCATGGGGAAAAAAGGAAAAACTTGTTTTAAAAAGTCATTGAATCACCAGAAATTAAGTCAGCCCTGTCATTTTCCTTTTGCTTTTGTTTATGGGCTGTTGGTTTTGTTTCATTTTGGTTTTTGTTTTGCCATACCAATGGTTTTAATTTTACCCAGTCACATGCTTTAGTCTTTTCATTTATGGTTTTTGCTTTTGGAGCCCCACTTAGACTTGTCCAACCCCTAAAATTATGTAAATCTTTTTTTTTATTATTTTGCTGTGTGGTGTGGGGTCTCACTAACTGGATAATCAGTTGTCCCCAGATCACTTAGTGAATGATGCACCCTTGCTCCCCTGTCCTGAGATGTTACCGTTAGCCTGTTTGTGGCGCACCCCGTGCGCTTGGTCTGCCTGCGGTCCCTGCAGTAACCGCCCCCTCCCCATCCAGTCAGCCTGCTTTAAGGCCATCAGTGTGTCTGTCCTGGATACATTTTAGCAGCTACTCTGCCCCTGCATCTTGCAAAAGAGAAAAAATTGGGCTCCAGGGAAGGGACCTATCTGAGGTACCATAGACTAGAACTGAGGTTGCCTGACTCACACCTGCGGCATCTCTTCCCTCTCTAATGTAATTCCTTTCCTATAAAGGATTTAAGTGTATATACCATATTTACATTTCTTATTTCCAGAATTATCCTCAACTGGTGGTGAGGTAGCAGGCCGTTGTGAAGTCTACCTTGTAGGCAACCCCCGAATCTGAGAGATCTCATCTCAAGCCCCACGTTTGCCTGGCTGTGCAGAAGGAGAGCCCACACCAGGAGGGACCGGGCAAAGCAAAAGGAGTTGGAGGGGAAGAAATGGTGTCCTGGGTGTCTTCTGCACACACCCTCAGTCCCAGTTCTCTCAGAGTCGTGGGATTGCCAAGTCTCTTGCAGAACATTGCAGAGGAGGCTCCGCTGGGCCGGGCCAGGAGGAGACGAGGGCCTAGGAGTGGGGCGTGAGGCCAGGCAGCGGTGCTCTAGTGACAGCATGCCCCCCTCCTCCACAGGTACCTCGGCAAAGAGGGCTGGGCCCCAGCATCCTACCTGAAGAAGGCCAAGGATGACCTGCCAGCCCGGAAGAAGAACCTGGCAGGCCCCGTGGAGATCATCGGGAACATCATGGAGATCAGCAACCTGCTGAACAAGAAGGCGTCTGGGGACAAGGAGACCCCCCCGGCTGAAGGCGAGGGCCATGAGGTGCCCATTGCCAAGAAGGAGATCAGCCTGCCCATCCTCTGCAACGCCTCCAACGGCAGCGCCCTGGGTGTCCCTGAGAGGACCGTGTCCAGGCTGGCCCAGGGCTCTCCAGCCGTGGCCAGGATTGCCCCTCAGAGGGCCCAGATCAGTAAGAGCCTCGCTGACTTCCGGGTCCCCGCTGCTGCAAAGCTCCTTACACAGTGGGCGTGGGGTGCAAAGCAAGCCAGCGGGGTGTGCAGGACCCTCATGGCATTTGCTTCCTGAGCTGCAGACCTCTGACCCTCTGCCAGCTTGTATCATGCTAATGATGGGAGTATTGCGACTCAGTCCTTCCCAACTGCTCCGTTGAAGATAGAGTACATGAGGATGTCAGCTGGTGGCATTCCCTCCTCCTCTGGTGGAGAGCCAGGAGCGGTCACTTTGCAGATAAATGCATTCCAAGACCAAGAAGCATTTGCTTTTCTTTACAGTAGAGGCTTTATCAATCATGATAGATGAGGTGTAGCTCATTGAAAACACACAACCCCATCCCATTTCCCTGGGCTGTTAAATGTGGGCCTTATATGCAGGGCTGCTTTATGGAAGGACGGCCTGTAGAGGAACGTCTCTCTGGGCCTTAGCCTCTCCTCCCCTACACCTTCCCCTAGTTACTGGAAACCTAAACAGCATGGAAACAGAGGCTTTCTCGCTCTGCACAAGCAGTTTCAAGAGGGCATCCTTCAAGAACCGCCTTCATTCCCACTCATCACAGGAGACCCCAGGCTGTCTGGCACCCTCTGTCCCCAGTCCGGCAGTGCCTGTGGTTGAGGGTTAAACTGTCCTCTGTTGTGGAAGCCCAGCTTTGTGTCCAGCCATTCTTAAAATCTGGAGGAAAGCTGTTCTGTAGTTTGGCTCTGAACTTGGTTAAGTTCTCATGCCTGAAACCTTTTAGGCAACCAGTTGGGAAACATTTATTGGGCACTTCCTCTTGCATGGCATTGTGTTAGTGTCTAGGGATTTAGTAGTGAGCAAAAAATAGACATGTCTCTGCTCCTAACTTTGAACATCTGATAAATCTATAAGCCCTTTACCCTGGAAAAATACCCATAGATATCTGTACGTTTCGAAATGTGCGCAAGATTTTAGAGTTGTCATGGATCCCCTGAAGCACAGCCGGGGTAGCTTAAAGGCCTATAATTTCCTCTTGAAGAAGCCCGACTATAGTGCCTATTGACCTAGAGCGCCAGGTCCTTTGTCACTGCCGAGCAAAAGCATGAGATTCCAGGGATCAGGAGCTGGTCGCAGGCAGGGAAGACAGAGGCACTGTTGCCCGTCATCTGACTCATCTGACTGGGTTCTGAAGCTGTATCTCCTTTTCTAGGCTCCCCAAACCTAAGGACGAGGCCTCCACCACGCAGAGAATCCAGCTTGGTATGTGTACTAAATTTCTTCTCTCTTTTGTGTCCCTTTTCTGGGGATGCACTGTAGCAGCCCCGATTAATGGGCTGTCTTGCTGCAGAGTGTGTTTGTCCAGAGGTTGTCCAGGGCCTTTGTGGGGCTGAGGGCATGGACCCCACACATCCCAGTCTTCTGAGGGTCTGGCTGGACAGTTTATAATCGGAAATGCACTGCACTCCAAAGCTAAATAAATCCATCCTGCCACTGCACTGGCAGACATAAACATTTAGACTGGCCAGCAAGAGTGTCCAGCCAGGGCATTGCCAGTGGCTAGAAATGGGGTTGCTGTCCATGTTAGCCTGGAAGCCTTCGAGCTTTGCCCTGTTCAGGAAGGCCCAGGGAGTGTGCTGGATGCACAAGCCTGGGAGGGCAAAGGGAAGACCAGTGAGCATCCTGTAAGGAGGGGGGGTGCATTGCAGGGGCTGGCTCATACTGACTCTTAAAGAGGGTTAAGGCTGCTCGGGTCCCTGGTTCCTGTGGGTGGGGTTTCCTGGTGTCCAGACCCTCTGGCAGGCACATGTAGTCAGGGGCTAGGCTTGGGGTGGCAGCAATGCTGGTGGCAAGCTGAGAGCCCTAGAACAAAAAACTGTTATCGGGGGCAGTAGGATGCAGGGGGAACGACTGGGGCTTCAGGCCTGCCCCACGTGGATTCTCCTCCCACTTCTGACACTTAGGAGCAGAGAGACGCTAGGCAAGTCACATATCTCCACAAACTCAGTTTCCTTATCTACACAATGGGAACAGCACTACCATCTCCTAGGACTATTGAAACGAGATGACGTATGTAGAGGGCTGGCAAATAGGTGTCCATTTCCATGTCGACTCTTGACTGTTTGGTAGTACTGCCTGGTGGTGCACGGCATTGAGAAAGACGCTGAAGTCACTGGGCTTAGCAGCAAGGGTTACTGTGGTCAGTGACATCTGCCCTGGAGAGGGGCTGTCAGTCATGGAAGAGCAGGCCCTCCGTAAGTGGAGGACTTTTGAAGATTTCGTCCCTGGAGATGAGACCTTCCTTGTCCTGGCCATTGTTCCCAATGGAGTTTCTGTCTGTCTTTCCCCTTGGGTTTTACACACACAGCTGAACAATGAATTCTCCTTTTCTCCCGTCTCTTTTGGCCCCCGCTAATTAGTTTCAGGCAGACTTGATTTTGGCAAGAATGGGATAATTCCTTCCACACTTAGCAAATGCAGGGGCTGAAGCAGGGCTGCTGTTTCCAGTTAGGCCCAGTGGAGTCCCACCTGGCCGGGTGCAGGGGACATTGATTGGTTCACACCCGGTCCCCCCAAACCAGCTTCCCCCACCCCTCGCCCACGCTGACCCATGGCAGCCCAGGCGAGACTGGCGGGCTGGGCAGTGCTAAGCCTGGAAGGATGAGGACTGCTGGAAGGACAGGCAGTTTCAAGAGGAGTGTGGCGCTTTCCCCTGCCCCTGCTGGGCCACAGTTGTGGACATTAGCTCGCAAGTCTCTCTGTACCCTGGTGCCAGTCCCATTTCGTAGGTGGTAGATTACGGAACTGCTATGCAGCAGCTTCTTCCCCCTCCCTCATCACACCCACCTCTTTTTTTCTTGCAATTGTTTTGTTTTAATCCCTTTGTAGGAGGAAAGACATAAATAGTGAAGCACAAAGTTCATTTTAGCTGGAATAGAGAAAAGACCAGTTGAAGTGAGAATGTACAATCCACGTGCGGGGGGCATTTCATCTGCTAGTGGATGCCCCGTGCCTTAGGCCAGTGTCTGTGCCCAGCAGATGCACAAGTAACAGTTGTTAAATGAGCCCGGCTTCCACATGCCCTTGAACATCATGCTGAGATGCTGAGTGCCAGTGTCTGAAAAGCACTCAGGGTCTCCAGTGGGCTCTGCCCTGCCCACAGAGACAGGATCAGAGGTGTATTCAGTGCCCGCCTGACCGTTTGGCATTGTCATCGTGACCAACCCAAGACTTCTCAGCCAACCCTAACGCCCCTTCATTCCCACCCCTGCCTTAGAGACGGTCACGCCTCCTTGCCCTTGCTCTCGGCCACTTGCCCTTAGATTTCAAGACGGTGGCTCTCCTCTCCCACAGGGCAGTGTGCAAGGGCTTTGTAAGAATGATTTCCCTGATTTTTAATTTTCATTTTGAGACTCAGCTATTGATGCATCTAAAAACTGGACCTCTGGAGGTGTAGAGATGACAGTGTTCATAGTGAGCATTTTACTAGCTCGGACGAGGCTCGAGTGAATCCTGAGTATTACTGGAAAGCCTTGTCGGGAGAGTGGTCTCTTGGGAATGTACCCTGGGACTTGGGTGGTAGATAGGTGCTCAGCCAGCCGCTGTCCAGCTGGTGTAGACAGCCATCCGCACCTCCAAGGACTGAGTGGGGACCAGTCCTTGGCCTTGTACTGTCCCAATTGGGTGGGTTTTGCTCACTGTGTCCTTCTCTGCATTAGGGCTTCCAGCTGCCGAAACCACCAGAGCCCCCTTCTGTCGAGGTGGAGTACTACACCATTGCCGAGTTCCAGTCCTGCATTTCCGATGGCATCAGCTTTCGGGGTGGGCAGAAGGCAGAGGTAAGCTGCAGGCAAGGAGGCTGAGGGTTTTAACTCATTAGGGTCAAAACTGACTGCATTTCCCATGTTAGGTCTTGCTAGTAAGGTTCCTGAGGGTCAGGCAGGAAAGGTACAGAAACGAGCCCCACAAGATGAGCATTTGCGTAAAGCTCGTCAGTGCCCCTGTCTGGACTGGAACCCAGGACCCGCACCCGCGCCTGTGCTCACGTGCTCACCTCACAGCAGTTTCACCAAGCATGTGCAGGGGAACGGGGTGCTGCAAAACTAGGGGCTCCTGTGGTCAAATGAGCCTGGGAAGCGTGGGTTAAACAAAATCCAGCCTTTTGTTGTTTCAGCTGCCCGGCTTCTCAGAGCCTAGGATGCGAGGATGCCACTGGAAGTCTCTACTGAGGGGACTAGGATAGGCAGCGTCGCCCAAACCCATTTGCCCCACAAGACTCCTCTCCCAGGAGCACCGCTGGGGCCGGGACCCGCAGGGCCCACGTTAGGAAGTGCTATCGTTGGGAGAATGTGCTCTAGCTGGGCAGGTTGAGACGCGGGCACCTGGGTTCTGGCCATGTCCACGCCACAAGAGCCCTGGTGTTTGATGCAGTCACTCCTCCCCACCCCCAAGACTTTAAGTCTCTTTGCAAAACAGGGTAATAGACCCTGGGGTGCTCCCTCCCATCCTGTCTCCTGGCATTTGTGTGACTCAATTTTGTGCCTGGTGCTGAGCAAGGCATTCCAGGGGACAGAGAAGATCTGTAACTCAGTCATTCCTCTGATTGGCTGTGTGTAGTAATTGAGTTAAATCCAACTAACACATGTGAAACTGTCAGATTCATTGGGCAGTCTCTGCCTATGAAGAGGTGACATCCCTAACCTGAACGTTTTAAAGCACGTGTCTGGAACTTGGAACTAAATTTCCAGGAGAAATTGTTCTCTCGGTGCTGAGGCTTCCAGGAGAGCCTACAAAGCTCGTGATGTAGCAGGATTGTCATCCTGTCAACCTCGGACAAAGGTTAAGGAGGAGGCTCCTTATCCTGATGTGGACATGACTGAAAGCCCCCACCCCTACCGACAGGAAACCATCCAACCCAAAGACACCTGTTCAGCTGATGGAATTCTGATGGGATTCCACAGGCGGTGGACACCGGGGAGGTGCCCTGCGGGGAGGCCCTGGCCTCAGGCCTGTCCCTCCCAGCTAGCTCATCTGCACCTTCCCATTCTGACCTGACCTGAGAGACCTTTCAAGGGTTTCCAAGGGGGTACCTAGCGACACTGGGGTGGAAGGATGGGGGCAGTGGCATGGTAGCTTTTCATACATATGAGTCCTTAGTGAGTTGGGTTTTGTAGGCACTGGGGACAGTGTAGCTTCTAAGTGCCTTAGCTTGGGGGAGGAAGAGCGGGCCAGCTTGGCAAGGGTGTTGACACAGATTTAGAGGACCAGGGCAGGGGGCCTTGGAGAGATGATAGAGACCTGGGTTTGAATTCTGGGCCCTTATGCCGAGGCTCAGTTGATTCATCTGTGAAATGAAGATAAGGTATCCCAGAGCCAAAGCATGAAGCTCCTCACCTGGGACATCGCAGGGTCCCAGAGGCCCTCCCAACTCACTGTCTGCCCTCTTCCCCAGGTCATCGATAAGAACTCAGGCGGCTGGTGGTACGTGCAGATCGGTGAGAAGGAGGGCTGGGCGCCCGCGTCTTACATTGATAAGCGCAAGAAGCCCAACCTGAGCCGCCGCACGAGCACCCTGACCCGGCCCAAGGTGCCGCCTCCAGCGCCCCCCAGCAAGCCCAAGGAGGCCGAGGAGAGCCCTGCGGGTGCTGGCGAGAGCCAGGACTCCCCGCGGAAACTCAAGTACGAGGAGCCTGAGTATGACATCCCGGCGTTTGGCTTCGACTCGGAGGCAGAGCTGAGCGAGGAACCCGCGGAGGACAAGGCCTCGGGGGACCGGCGGCTGGCCCAGCCCCACAGGCCCTCGCCGGCCTCCTCGCTGCAGCGGGCCCGCTTCAAGGTGGGCGAGTCTTCAGAGGACGTGGCCCTGGAAGAGGAGACGATCTATGAGAACGAGGGCTTCCGGCCGTGTGCAGAGGACACCCTGTCAGCCAGGGGCTCCTCAGGGGACAGTGACTCCCCAGGGGGCTCCTCGCTGTCCCTCACCAGGAAAAACTCCCCCAAGTCGGGCTCGCCCAAGTCGTCGTCGCTCCTGAAGCTGAAGGCAGAGAAGAACGCCCAGGCAGAACTGGGGAAGAACCACTCCTCAGCCTCCTTCTCCTCCTCCATCACCATAAACACCACCTGCTCCTCCTCCTCTTCCTCCTCCTCCTCCTTGTCCAAGAACAGTGGCGACCTGAAGCCCCGCTCGGCCTCGGACGCAGGCATCCGTGGCACTCCCAAGGTGGGGGCCAAGAGGGACGCTGACGTGAAGGCCGGGCTGACCTGTACCCGGGCCAAGCCATCAGTCCGGCCCAAGCCGTTCCTGAACCGGGCCGAGTCACAGAGCCAAGAGAAGATGGACATCAGCACTTTACGGCGCCAGCTGAGGCCCACGGGCCAGCTCCGAGGAGGCCTCAGGGGCTCTAAGAGTGAGGACTCGGAGCTGCCCCCGCAGACAGCCTCCGAGGGTCCCGATGAGGGGCCTAGGAGAGGCTCGGCCGACCTCATCACCCCCCGGGCCGCCACTCCCCCATGTCCCGCCAAGAAGGAAGGGGACGGGCAGGCCACCTCCTACATGACGTGCAGCGCCTACCAGAAGGTCCAGGACTCGGAGATCAGCTTCCCCGCAGGTGTGGAGGTGCAGGTGCTCGAGAAGCTGGAGAGCGGGTGGTGGTACGTGAGGTTCGGGGAGTTGGAGGGCTGGGCCCCCTCCCACTATTTGGTGCTTGGCGAGAACGAGCAGCCCGACCCCGCTGGCAAGGAGCCGGACACGGGGACCCCCAAGAGCAAGCAGAATGAGGGCAAGTCCGACAGCCTGGAGAAGGTGGAGAGGCGCGTCCAAGCCCTGAACACGGTCAACCAGAGCAAGCGGGCCACGCCACCCATCCCCTCCAAGCCGCCCGGGGGCTTCGGCAAGACGGCAGGCGCTGCTGCGGTGAAGATGAGAAATGGCGTGCGGCAGGTGGCCGTCAGGCCCCAGTCGGTGTTTGTGTCCCCACCACCCAAGGACAACAACCTGTCCTGCGCCCTGCGGAGGAACGAGTCGCTCACGGCCACCGACGGCCTCCGAGGTGTCCGCCGGAACTCCTCCTTCAGCACTGCTCGCTCCGCGGCCGCCGAGGCCAAGGGCCGCCTGGCCGAACGGGCTGCCAGCCAGGGCTCGGACTCCCCCCTGCTGCCCACCCAGCGTAACGGCATCCCCGTGTCCCCCGTGCGCCCCAAGCCCATCGAGAAGTCCCAGTTCATCCACAACAACCTCAAAGACATGTACATCTCCATCGCGGACTACGAGGGCGATGAGGAGACGGCGGGCTTCCAGGAAGGGGTGTCCATGGAGGTTCTGGAGAGGAACCCCAATGGCTGGTGGTACTGCCAGATCCTGGATGGCGTGAAGCCCTTCAAAGGCTGGGTGCCCTCCAACTACCTTGAGAAGAAGAACTGACGGGGGGCATGGCGTCCTTCCAGCCTCGGTATGCCACCACAGCCGCCACTGGTTGAGCGGCGAGATGAAGACAGAGGGGAAAGGAAAGACGGGAGGGATCGGGGGCGGACAACACAGATCCCTACAGAATGTGTGACCTCCGAAATGCCTCCTCCAGGCTGTCCCCCAGCTGGGAGGTGGGGATGGCGAGGACCCACATTGAGTAGGGAACGGAATGGGCCAGGGAGTCCCGCGGGCCTGGGACCCAGAGCTGAGAAAGCTGAGACCCAAAGTGCACCTTGGTGACTTTGCTGATAGACTGTGTGCCATTTGGGACGGGCCGCGTGGGAATCCCCAGTTGTGCCTTTGCTGCAAATCTGGAAGAGACGTCATAGGGGGCCTACAGGGCTCTGTCCCTGCGTGGCCCAGTTTTGGTTGCTGGCATCTTGCCACAGGAGGTAACCCTTGTACCGTCCTAATCTGTATTTGTGAACTGTGCTGGTTTCCCAGGGACTGCCACTGCCTGCCACAGGTGGTGCGTTAGAAGACACCACTGGCTTTGGGGCTTGGAGGTGTCTCATGGGAGCTCGAGGCTGATCCTGGGCCAGGCTATTGTCCATGTCTGTTAGTTAAAGAAAAAGCAGTTCCCGGTTGCCAGCAAGGACCACCTTTCATAGCTGTCACTGTCCTGGCCTTGAGAAGACAGCGCCCCTCCTCAGGGCACCCGGCGGCGGAGGACACAGTCAGTACTAGAGTTTATGGAGGGTGGGTGAAGCCGTCAATCTCCTCATAATCTGCACAGACTCATGGATATTCTGGGTGGGCGTTTCCTTTGCATGTTTTGGGAGAAGTTTATTGATTTGGGGGTTATGTCAGGGCTTGGATTTTGGTCTTATTTTCGGGGTGGTTTAGAGGCCCAAGGATGTTCGGCCTCCTATGGGCAAGGGCAGGGTGGTAGACGAGCTTTTCTGTTGTACTCTAGTGGGAGGGCCGTTTGGCTTTTGTTTTTGTTTCACATTCTTCCCCCTCCACAGGCCAAAGTAGTTGCGTTTGGTTTCCACTGTGTGGACAGTGCCCGAGTGCGGCACTTACCAGAAGGATCTGGGGCCGCCTGAGCCCCAGGTCACAGACATGGCGAAGCAGAGAAACTATTCTTCTGGTTCCTGCCAAACTTCAGTGGGGGGAGCACAAAATCCCTCCCCAGGAAAGAGGAGGATGTCATTCAGGAGCCAGACTCGGGGAGAGGAGGCAGCTCCGGGCTGCTGGGTGACCGCCGTCCTGCACACATTCTCCGTGTGGGGCCGGCCACAGCCTTACTTACGTATGGACTGTGGAGCAGCAGCCATTGCCTCACCCTGGGCTGAGGGGACCCCAGCTGGGCCCCTGGACCAGACTGGAGCCAACACCACCAGCTGCCCCTGTGGCCCACTGGCAACACCGCAGGTGCCCAAGAAGATGGAGGATCCTCACACCAGGAGCCACCCTGGTTTTCCCGAGGGGCAGGGCCCCAGTGAAGAGAGAAGCGAGAGAATAAAGTTCCCTGTAGGTCCTGTGTCACCTTTGGGTTTTTCAATTGCTGATATTTCAAAGGGGACCCTCCAGAAGCCCAGCGGCTTCCCAAGGACTCCCCTTTGCTGGGAGTGGATTTCCACACGTGCCTTTGATTTTGGACGGATCAGGCTTCACGAAGGCCGTGGATTCAGCTGCCGGGATCCTGGCCCAAGGGGTGGTGTTTTCCATAGGGAAGGAAAGGCCACCCCCCGCTGTCACCCAGGCGGGCGGCACGGGACCTCGCGTCTCGGTGGGTCAAGACCCCCACACCCAAGGCCGTGCCTGGGCGCCCCCAGCCCTCGCCCCGCCACACACCGATGCAGCTGTAGCAAACCGCGCGTGTTCGTTGTTGAAGGGCCGTGGTGAGATTGTTTTGTTTCCTTTTGTTTTGTTGGTGAGTTTGTTTAAAACTGAAATTAGTTATTTTCTTCTGCTGGACAGTATTAAATAGAGCAGAATGTTGAGTTAATCTGCTAGACTGCAGTACTAATGGTAGTGGGTTAGTGTCTTCCTATTAATATTATTTGTACTTATTTGAACAATAATGATAAAGAAGTGGTTCATTATTTTTAATTAATGCACTTTAAATGAGGTAGAATGGGAAAAAAACCCAGAGAGCAAAGTGCATTACTTAAAGATGCAGTATATACTTTTCTCATTTTTAAACAGCACATATTTATTAAGAGAAAAAAGTAATTTATGATTATTTAAAATAAAATTTAAAAATAGAGTGACTGTCAGGTTAAAGGACCTTCCACGTCGCTGTCTTCCAGGGGGAGGGCCCCATGGCCTCGCTCCTCAGATGTCTGCACTGAGCCAGTTCAGTCACTCGTGCGCCGGCCAGGCCAGGGGGGCGTGCAGAGCATGTCTGCCAAGCACAGAGCATCTCAGTTGGACCGGACCACCGTGCTCTCCGGAGCCTGCCCTTCCTGCCCCTCCCCACTGTCTGTACTGCCACCCCCTTTCCCTGATCCTCAGTGCTCTAAGTGATAGAATCATCAAAAGGCAGGACTGGAAGAGACCTGAGAGGTAGCTCCATCCCATTTCTTCCTGCTGCTGTAGCCCAAGGACAGGAAATGACTTTTCCAAAATCACAGAGCTAGTTAATGGCAGATCTCCCCACTTCAGTCCTGTGCTCCTCCCACCCCCATTATAGTTTATTGTGTGGTGATCATGTTTACATTGAGACATCCAGCCCCAAGGATGGCTGGGAGTTGTTCAGGCATCCAGGAAAAATGGGGAATGCTGCCACCTGGTGACAGCACGTATGTTTGGGCAGTGAACAGGATTGCCATGTCCCAGTTCTTCACACTTCGTCCCCACGCTATCACCCCCCCAACTCACAGCACAGCACAAATCCTGCAAGCCCAAAGAGAATATTAATACTTGAACCAAGAAGGGTGCATGCCAGTCCTTCTCAGACATGGCCAGGGGATGCCAGGCCTTGTGCCCCTGAACTCCTAGCCCTCCCCAGGGCGAGGGCCTTTCCCTAGAGCTACTGAGCTGCTTTGTGATGTTGGAGGGTACTGCTGGCAGCAGGCAGAGGAGGGAGGGGGCCTGTGGCTCTGACCCATCTGGAGGAAAAACAGATCGGACTAAAAAAGGAAAAAGAAAAATGAAATCTCAGCAGTGTCCAAACCTAGTTTTCCATTAGTTGCGATTGAAAATGTGAAATGACATTGTATTGCTGTATACTGCAACTTTAATCATAATGAGCCCTTCTGAGGTCATTATTGAGGTTTATATAATGCCCGAAGATGCATCATTTGGTGCTTTGTTTTTCTTTCAGTTTAAAGACCTTTTACTTTTATTCCAAAGGGAAAAAATGTCTCCATCTCTCTCTCCCATCTTGTCCCTCTTCATAATAGCGGCTGGCCGTGTTGCCTGGCTCCCCCGTGCCATGGGACCTTGGGGGGCAAGGAAGAGAGCTGCAGGGGGGACCCCTGAGCGGCAGGTGTGCCCTGGGGGTCCCCCGTGCCCGTGGCTGTGGCTGGGCTGTCACGCCAGGCCTCAGCCCCGTCCAGCCCCACCCTGGCCCCAAAGGTTTCTCTTTCTTCCTCTTCAGTTTTCCATTTTGACGAAGGCATTATATAGAATCATTTTAATCACTTTCAGATGTTAGAGCAGCATATTTTACTGGCATTTGTATCCATTGCTTTCCTCGGCAAGGCATGTTACTACTTTTATCATCTAAGGAAAAGAGACAAGGGAATTTCAGTCAAGCATTTTCATATTACTAGTATTTGCAGTAGGCGTAGAACTATTTAAGTTTAGACGTTGGTTTGATACTTTGTTTTGTTTAAAGGGGAAAAAAGGATTAAATAACCCCTATTTTTCCTGTTTTTGTATTTAACTAATATATTATTTCTTTAAGGTTACTCATTTTCCCCACCCCCTCCGAATACTTTGCATTCTCAATCGAAAATGGAAACAATCCGAGAGACAGGAAAAGTGCAATATTACCAAGATGGAGGCCGGGCTCACTGGGCACAGTGGAGGGAGGGCCAGTGACCCTGCTGCAGGTGGCGGGGGGGGGGGGGCAGTGGGAGGGGCTGGTGAAGGGACCCTAACTGTGGAACGATGGGTGGGTTGGTGGAGTCTGATCTTGTCATCTTCCACTCTCCCCTTCCCGGAGGGCAGCCCCTTTTCTGTTGGGTGTTGTCCACCCAGAAGAAAGGGTTTCAGGAAAACGGCATGGGGCTCTTGACCTCCTGGGGCCCTAGTCCCCAGAGCAGAGTGAGGACATCAGGAACCGTTCCTTGTTTTCATTTCCATTGTTTTGCAGCCAGCTGCTCAGAGACCTGACCTAAAAATGACTCCCAGCAGCCCTCTCTCACCCCAGTCTCCTGATGTTTGGGTCATGATCCTTTTGATGTATGTTTGAATCTTTCTAAAACTATGTAACCTCAGTTCAGTTTATGGGCAGGAACCCTAGAGATAACCAAATCCTTTTGTGGGGTGTGGGTGCCATGAGCCCTACAGACCCCAGTGAGATACCAGTTCCCACAAGCCTGCAGCGGGCCTGGGCCCACCCGTTCATCTCAATGACTTCAGCCCAGGGAGTGAGCCCTGGCCCTGCTGCGCACCCGGACAGCACGCAGATGTTCTCGGAGGGGAGGCTGAGGGGTCTGCTTGGGTCTGTGCAGACAGAACGTCCCACAGCAAGTGCCGCCTCCTTCCTTGGCACCGGTAGAGAAAGCAGCAGGGTGGGAAGTCTCTTCTGGGTCCACGCCCTTGTAGCTCTGCCCCGCAGGGTGAGAGGGATGTCCCTGCTGGCTTGTTCCCCACCTCCAGTACTGTACACTTGCTGCTCCAACCCCTTATTTGGTGAATTTCTATGCAGATACGGATCTCTCTGCCCATGGTGGGACTGCGCCGCTGTGCGGGTCTCTCCCTCGGAGTATAGACATCTATATATTCGATCTTTGAGAATCTCAATGCAGAGTTCTCTGGAAAGAGAACCGTCCACATCACTAAAGAATTAAGATTCCCTCACTTTTTTGAGGGCTGTATGTTGAGTGTGTGTGTGTGTGTGTGTTTGTGTGTGCACGCACGCGTGCAGGAGTATTGGTAATTTCCCACTTGAACTAAGTAACATGGGGTTAGAGAAAAAAGTACTGGGCAAGCTGTCTCCATTGAACAAGTCCTTGGCATTGGGCAGGTCCCAAGGGACTCGCAGCTTCTGGCAGCAAGCGTGTGTGTTATTCACATACATGTAATTCTGGCTGGAGAGTGCAATGTGTCTATTTTTGTTGTTATTATTTTATTAAGTATTTAGTTGGAAACTTCACACTGGCATTAACAGATCTAGCAGAAGCAGCCTAGGCCATCGTCCCGGGCTCCAAAATGAAGAGGTGGAAAAGAGATGCCGTTGGGAGTGGAAACACTGAGGTGGATCAGTGAGGTCACGCACCTGCAGACGTGTCATCTAGCAGGCTGACTCCCACCCCTTATCTGTGTCACTGGTATGAGAATCCCCATGCAGTAAAAGAGCTGCTGGCCCCTTGGTTCTTGTCTCTGAGCATGGGGCAGGCTGGCTGGGTTGAGAACTTGCCCACGGTGTGCCCAGCAAGGCCTGCATGTGTGCACACATCAACACCTCTGGTCCCAACTGTGGGCCTGACTGAACACTTCCTGAGAATGGTTGGAGGGCTCCCCTGGGCCTCACTGAGCTTTTTGGCTAAATCATCATCCCTGTTTGGGGCAGTCTCATGCCTCTGTGGTTCCTGAGCTCTATGACCAGGGCCAGTGAGAGGACGACAGGGTCAGTGACCTACAGCTTTGGGGAAAAACAGCTCCTCTGATTTTAACTTCCCTCCTGCTTCATCCTGAACACCTAGGTCCCCAAGCCACAAGGTTGGCGCACTGGTGCTTACAGACTGGGTGGAGGGCTCTACCTTCCAAGGCCTTGGTCCCAGCCTGTCTAGAAGGTTGGGATTCACATGTGATCCCCACTCCCCATCTTTTTAAATCTCGTTTGCACTTGGCCTTGACAATCAGCACCCTCTCCCATCCCAGTCCTCGAACTTCGTGGCCTTAGAGAATTGGGGTCCCCTGCATTGAAAGTCCCTATCTTGTTCCTCGTTCCATCCTTGCCAATCAGCTGGGCCTCAAGAGGTGAGAGAAGAATTGTTCTAGAGTGAAAGGATGGATCGAGCATGTTGAAGGCAAGTGAGAGGCATGTCGGCAAGATGAGTGATGAGTGTGTGCATGTTTGGGGTGGCTGGGGCCTACTGTCCCTTCACTGGGAAGGAGGCTTCTGGAAGAGGATGTCTTCTAGGTAGAAAAGCAAAAGGCTGAATGAGGGTTTGGAGTTTTGTCTTTGTTGATTAAAAGGAAGGAAGAAGTTGATTCTGAGTATTTCAGGGAGAAGAGAGCAGGCAGGAAGGGAATTTAGTAATTCAACACCCAAGAGTCCAGCCAGAGCAGGTTGGAAAATCCTCCAAATTTGACCATAGAAGCTGGCTAAAAAAACTGCCACTCATTGGGCCATAAGCTGGGTGCCCAGCAGGTCTCAATGGTTGGTCACTGATTTATGTAGTAGACAGGAAGTTGCCAGCAATAAACCAATCTTTGAGCTTGGAGGCCCTATTTCCAGAATGCATCCACCCATCTCCAGGTTCCCAGCTGATTCTGCCCACTTCCCTTTGTTCAATCCAGAGCTGGCCTCTCAAGTTGTATGGGTCATACAGCAAGGACCCGTCATCCCCAAACTGGAACCTCAGGGTCCAGGCTCCACCGGGTGTGTCTGGGAGAAAGGCAAACTCATTTGTCCTTCTGTTGACCGCAGTTATTCTCAGCGTCTCTAGTGACACCTATGGTGGTTCAGTTTGCTGAGTCAGCCACCCTGGTATGGATTAGACCAGGTAAGTTGAACATCCATCCATGGATATACCCTTCTATTTTTCAGCAGAACCAAGGCACACTACCCATTAGAGTTTATTTCAGAGAAAGAGGGGTAAATAGCCACCATTCTTGAATTTACAGCTTGCTCTCTGCAACAAGTTTTCTTTAAATCCAGGACACAGGATGGGAAAAGGGCTTCCCTGCCAGTGTCTGACAGGTCTGCAGGAAGGTGACTCCTGGGCAAGCCGGATGTGAGTGGAGGTCCCTGAGGTGGGCATGTGCACTGCATGGTTGGGTGTGGACTGGTGGATGCCTCCGGGGCTCTAGAACTTTGGGGGATTCCTCATGGTGTCTGCTCAATCCTGCCACGCTCTTAGGGGGCTCTGTGGGGTCAGGAGGAGCCCTTCAGCTTTTCCCTCTTGGCCCCTCAGCAGAGAAACTGGAGAAAAAGACATTAAGTTCAGTGCAGTCAATTTGAGTGCTAAAATATTTCCAGGATCAATGGTGGTGCTAAACTATCTCCATGTTTCTAATATTTTTAATAGTAGAGTTTTGTTTTTTTTTTTTAATCTCAGCACACAAATTCAGTGTCCCTGGGAAAGGGGACCAGCCCCTTGGTCTGCCACTTCCCAGGTGTCCTTTATCACTTTCACGGGACTCTATGGTCTGCAGAAAATGTTCTGTCTTGGCATGCTTCTAGACTGTAAGATTTGGGGTTTTTTGTTTTGTACTTTGTTTATGTTTACATGCATCTTATATTTCCCTGAAAACTAAATAAAGTTTTTGGCCTTTTTAACTGAACAGACTTACCTCTTAATTTTCCCTGTCACCAGAAAACCCATCCAGCTGAATAACAGAAGGCCCATTACCCCAAAAGCAGCATGGACTTGGGACCTAGCACCCTCCGGAAGACCCCCGGAGGCTGGGGGTGGTGGGTAAGTCCCCACTGTTTTTGGCAAGGACAGTGCTCCAGTCCTCCAGATCCTGCCCACCTTCAGGCCTGGCTAGCCCCTCAGCTTGGCCCCCTCTCACCTACCTCGACTGGACTCCAGTGAACAGGGCAGGGTGGCTCTAGTTGGGGACACCCTGGGGCTGTTCAAGGCCAGACAGAGCACCCTCCCAGGAGATGGGTGGGTGGGCAGGAGTCCCAGGAGACTGAGACCTGGTATTGCCAAATGAGGACAGTTGCAATGTTGTGCCCAGACGTAGGAGCCAGTAGTCTGGCTACTCCTGCCCACCCTAGCTTTTCCAGCCCTCTGGATGTACTCGGCACATCTGACAGTTTCTCCAAAGGTCTCTGTCCAGGGCTCCCCTTTCTCCCCAACTACACCACCCACGTGGCATACACCTCTGTACCCACCAGTGGGAACACAGCTGAGCTCCAGCCTGAGGAGCACCTCCCAGTCAGCCCCTAGGTGGCGCTGCCCACCCCATGAGGGTCTGTTTAGGATCAGCCTCGGGAGGAAGCAGAGCACCTGCATGGACACCCAGGGCTCCTGTCCCCCCACGACCCGCTCCTCATAGGCCCAGGGACCCCAGGCCACCAGAAGGGCAATTAGCAAAGCCCACTTGGCATTCCAGGACCCAGCCCCACTCCAGGGAGTGTTCCCTAATTGTCCCAGCTCACCACTGGGCCTCACCTCTCCATGGCCCCTCTGTGTCCAGGACACCTGATCACCCCCACAACATGTACGCACACACTGCCCCTCCCAGTCCGCCACACACACAGCACAGCCCTCAGGCTGGTACGAAATCACCTTTATTCACAATCAGCCACCCAAGTTCACAAAGGAGCAGCGAGTCCTGCGCTGACAGGCGATGGGATGATGGCTTCCTCTCCCCACCCTCAGGGCCCTGCGCTTGAGACCTCTTTACTCTGGGATGGGACCCTGACTGGGCAGAGCCACTAGCCAGCCCACCCCGCTCCCACAGAAGGGGTCTCCCAGGGTCAGTGTCTGGGGAGCAGAGACCCGCAGGGAATAGTGACTTCCCTTAACGTCCACTTCGAGGCCAGCACAGAGGCCAACCCCAAGTCCATACCACCCCATGACAACCCCTCACCAAAGAACTCCCAAGAGTCGCACAGAAAGTGCTCCTGTCCCCCAAACAACTGTTTGACAGAGTGGGGCTGAGGTTCAGAGCAGCTGTGACCCAATGAGGGCCATGCAACTGGTCAGTGGCCAGGACTAAAACCCCATGCCCTGCCTGTCATGGGGAGAAAGTCTCTGAAAGGCGCAAAACAAAAAGCCATCTGATGGGGCAGGGGACTGGGGGTGCCCAGGACAGGCAGGGCTGAGATGACTGTAACCTAAGAGTACATGGGGGTGCTCCCTCCCCAGAACCCAGAGGTGCTGGGCGCCAGCCCTTCCCTTCCCAGCATGCCCACACATGCAGAGCCTCCCCCAGGAATGGGCTCCCTGACCACCGTGACATGGTCCCCTAGTCCCGATTCCTAGCCCTCGCCCAGCCTGCCTGGAACTCTTCACATCCCTGTGGGCCACCTGATCTACCTGACTAACTATGATGACCCAGCCCAGGCAGGAAGGGCACTTTGTGGCTCTGGGTGATCCACCAGCCCCAGGGCACTAAGGGGCTCAGTCTGCCTCTCTGTGAAATGGATCCAACATGCCATGAGGCCTCCCAATTTGACCCTTTTTTATGGCATTCCCATCCGTGATTAGCAGGGTGACTGTGAGCTGTGCCTGGAGTCCTGGGAGGACACTGAGTGCTGACCACCTCTCCACTGACCCCTCTCACCAGGCACCCCACACACCCAGACAGCAGCTCTAGGGGCCCAGGGAATATAGCTTACCCACAAACAAAACCCCACACACCCACACACCAAATAAATAAATAAATAAAAGGAAAAGGCTGGTCTCAGCCCAGGAAAGCTACTCACCCAGCCCGGGGATAATGGGACAATGGTTTCCTCTCCTCCCCTTCCAACCCAAGTCCCTGGCCTCTTCCCAGGCGCGCTGCAGCCTCTGAGCATGAGCCCAGGCCCAGGATGGCGCTGAGCTGTGGGAGGACGGGTCAGAGAGGGCAGCTGCACACCTGTTCTTAGAGACCCTGACATCATGGCCCTCTGCAGCCGTCCATCCACCCATCGGGCTGGGTGGGAGAGACATGGCACGGAGGCTGCAGCCTGCTGATTGGAAGGATCTGCTGGCCTTCTCGCCCCCAGCTGCCAGGCCCAGTGGGCAAGGAAGAAAGGAAAGAGAAGGTGGGCAGAGATCAGAGGGAGACAGCAGCAGCTCAGGAGCCATCTGCCCAGAGTAGGGCTGCAGTTGAGCAGGTTGTGCACTGCTCGGGGGCTAAATCCCAGTCCACTCTCCACTAGAGAAGCTGCATGACCTGGCTCAGAGCTGTGTCTGCCCCGACAAAGGTACATGTTTTCCAATTCTCACAAAGATGCCTTCTAGAAATCTGCCCCAGATGGGGAAGGATTAGAACAGGCTGAGACCCCAGTTTAGCCCCTCAGCATGCAGGGAAGAGCTGGGCACAGAGAAGGGGGAGAGAGGGAAAGTGCAGCCTCCTCCCTTCCCCTCTGCCCCCCACCTCCCTGCCTGACACCCCTTTTTCCCCAAGACCTTCAGTGGCCTCAGTTTCCCATATTTAATGGAGAAGGAAAAAGTTTCCAAAATAAGGAAGAGAAAGGGTCCTGCTGGCCTGCCCCTCAGCCAGAGCTGGGCTGAAGTCGGGAGATGGGCGTGCTGGGTGAGCCGCCGGGCGGGCTAGGAGCTGCGGTAGGTCTTGATGATGTCCTTGATGGGGCGGCGACAGATGGGGCAGCAGGCGTGCAGGGCCTTCTTGAGGCGCAGGCCACAGGCGTAGCAGAGGCACATGTGACCACACGTGTAGATGACTGTGTCCACCGCGTGTTCATAGCAAATGGTGCACTCATCGCTCCACTGGCCCAGGCCTGGGGTCACCGGCGACTCAGGCAGGCTCACTGGTGAGTTAGGGGCCGTCCCTGGGGACAAAGGGGCACTGTCAAGAGACATGGCCTACCCCAGTGCTGGGTCCATTGGAAGAGACCCCAGCCTCTTGTGCTCCCTCCATTTATTGGAACCTGCCTGTCTACCCTGACGACCCAGCTTCCTGGGCACAAAAGAGGCTGAGCTCTGGGCAGCCCCACTTCTGGCCCACCCAGTCCCCAGACCAGCGGCCTTGGTGGCAACGAGGCAGCAAGAGGAAAGAAGAGAGAAGGGATGGAAGAACAAAGGGGGCCCCAAATCTTTTAAGGCAAGCCCTTCCCGAACTGCCCCTTGGCACTGCCCAGCTAGGGGACAGGATGGGCTAACCCCAGAATCCTCACCAGCAAGGGTTCACTGAGCCCGGCCCAAACACAGAGGCTGTGTCCTCGCCTCAGTCTCGCACAGTCACTGTGGAACCAGGCGTGCTGGCGCACTTACCGCCAGCAGAGCTCCCCAGCGGTCCAGAGCTGCACGTGCTGAGCAAGGGGTCGGAGAGGCGACTGCCCAGGGCACTGGGCGAGGTTGGTGTGGAGGCAGGGGAGCAGGGGAGTGAGGGGACACCCCGCTCTGCCAGGATGGTGGAGCCTGCAAAAGGGCAGCAAGGGAAGACACACTAGCCACCTGGAGACCTGACCCGAGAAAGCTCCACCCCTCACGGTGGCTTCCCGGGGGGCCTGACCACACAGCACAGCCACGGGGCTGAGCAGGACTTCACAGGGTGGCGTGGCGCCCAGCCCAGCCCAGTCCCTGTTCTCACCTACAGGCGGGAGGACCGCATCCTGCTGGGGTCTTGCCCCATCAGCAGTCTCCACACTAGCCGCTGCCTGGAACCTTCTGTCCGCCCCTCCCCAGACCCCTCCTCCTTCAAAGGCTCCCCTCTCATCGCCTCACCCTCCTGTCCAGAACTCTGTGTTCTGCATCACTGTCCCCAGATATCACCCACACTCTGCAGGGTACCTCTGAAATGCCTTCACCTCTCCCATGTCTATTCTAGTCCTGCATTCGTTCTTTCCCCCTTCCTTCCCTCACACCTCTTTCCACTCCTCCCTTACTTACCTCCTGTTTGCCCTCCTTTCCCCCTTCTCCCTTCAACAAATCCTTTCTGAGGGCCTACCAGCTGCCAGGCACTGTGCATACACAAAGCTGGGCACAGAGCCCTTGCCCTCAATGAGCAGACTGTCCAGGGAGCCTTTTGGGGCTGTCCTCAAACCCCCTCCTCTGGGCTGCCTCAACTGGCCCCAGACTACACCACTCCATCTAGCACTGACCAGCCACACACACTACAGCCACAGGACTAAATAACCACAAAGCCTGGAATATTATTTGTTCTTTGCCCAGGAATCCAGCTTCGTTTCTCCAGGTGAGCTCAGATTCACCATGAGCTTTCTGAGATCAGGAAATCTTACTCCCTGTGACTCTCCCACAGTCCCTCACATAATGGCCTGCACACAGGTAGGTGCTCAGTGAAATCTTTTTTCATTATGTTATTAGTTCTAACTCATTTATAGTGTTATTTCTAAGAATATTCAATAGGTACCCATAGGGTTTCTCTTACTGCATTAATATTTTTCAAGTTAATTATCTCCTCCTTTTAGAAATTCATACCTCCTATTTACTTTCTTTGCCTTATTGCACTGGCTAGTGTTCTCAGAACAAATGTCTATAAGGCATCCCCCCCCTATCATTTTCCTAACTTTAATGAGAATATTTCTAATGTTTCGCCAGTAAGTATGAAATTGCCTGTAGGTTTCATGATACAGATGAGTGAAGGATACATCTTTCCATTCTTAATTGACTGAGGACATGCACAAAGCCAAGCATTCCCCTATAAGGTAAATAACGACCCTCCATACATTGTCACTGGTTTCTTTTGCCTTTCAAGTCAGTCAGGATCCCCTAACACCAACTTGCTGGTTGAGATGCCCAATTCTCCAAACAGCTTAGGAGCATTCTGTTTAACAAACAGTAAATTCTGGATGGTTATTCTTCTTTCTTACTTTTTTTTAAGAGATGGGGTCTCATTATGTTGCCTAAGCTGGTCTTGAACTCCTGGCCTCAAGAGATCCTCCCTCCTCCTCAGCCTCCCAAAGTGCTGGGATTACAAGGCGTGAGCCACCACATCCAGCCCTTGAATGGTTATTCTTCCACACTTACCCTGGCTCACCTACCTCTTGGGTCAGATAAGTCCTGATTTTTGTTTTCAAATCTTCCCTTTGCTCTAGTCTAGTAAACCGCTTTGGGCAACAGAAGCCTTACTGGAAAGCTGCTTAGCTATTATTAGATGGTGCTGATGCAAGAGGGAACCTTGCCCTTATGTAATTTCCCTTCTCTGAGAAGCAGCGTCTCCTGGTGAATGCAGCCAAATATCTTTTTACCTCAGCTTGATTTTTTTTTTGGCACCCCAGTCCCCAGTCCAATCTCCTTTTATTCCATCCTGAATTCTCACCCCAGCCTGATTCATCTTCCTTCCTTCTTGAGTTCCTCCAACCTGATTTCTTTTCATTCCTTTGATCTATCTTCCCTCAATTCCAACTTCTTAGCACCCCAGCCTCATTTCTCTTCATGCCTTTTTCATTCATTTTTCACTCCATCTTGACTTGGTCTCTTGCCAGAGTTGGAAGTCCCCATTGACCTTATCTGATTTCACAAACTCTCCCATGCTCTCTCAATCACCAACAGCATTACATACACAAACACCCATGTATTTATTCACATCCTACACACCTGTCAATGCCAATCTTACAGAGTAACTCATGCTCACTCATGTACATGCATATCTTACCCGTCAAGCATCCCCGGCTGAGATCTAGGCCACGGGCTGTGAGACCCAGGGATCTCCAAATTTGGGTAAGCATACTTGCTAACGAAAAAAAATTCAGATGTCCAGGACCTATCCAAGATCTACGGAAGTGGAATCTCTGGAGGTGGGATCCAAGAATCTGCACTTTAATAGGTTCTCCAGGTGAGTCTAATGAAACCAGCCCAGTCTAACACAGCTGTTTCAAAGATCAGCACTTGGAAAGCATGAACACCTGCTCACTCTGGGGTAACAGAGATCCCAGGAGATGCTTTATTTTTTTTCTGGTCAAATTATTAATAGTTTAGAAAAACTGTACACCATAACCACCACCACTCCCTCCTTAAAGATTCACAGTACCTATTAAAGGCTCTGAGAAGTTCTGCAATAAAGAACTCTCCTTCTCCCCACCCCACTCCCCAGGCCTTTTAAATTCAATGTTTCTCAAATTTTTTGAACCATAGGACAGACTCTTTTCCGAAGAACTATTATCCAGCACAACAATCCAGTAAACACAGCTTTTCAAGTCCACATTCCCCAGACCATTCAAATGCTGTGTCCCCCAGAAAAGGAACTCTGTAACCCACTTCTCCCAAGGCTACCTGCTCAGGGATTCCCCACAGCCCCGAACCCCTGGCACCACCTTGCATAGACGCCTGACTACTGACTCGCCAACATTTTTCTCATTTAGACTCACAACCATCCCTGGAGGTGGAACCTGGGTTTAAATCCATTTTGGAGAAATGGAAGCCGAGCCTCAAGAAGTTATTACATAACTGCTGGGGAAAACCATTTTTCTCCATTTTTAAGTGGCCACGGGGGTATGTGTATAGGGGCGGTTTATGTATCTGTGGGACTGTGGTTTAATCAGACTTGGGGGTCAAACTCAATAATCCACGCTCTCCTCACTCTCCTGGGGCGAGTCTCCTGACATGTGAGGACCGCGCACTGCAAGATCAAGTCCCGCCCAGCGCTCACCTTCCGTGAGATTCTCTGGCAACACTACAGTGAGCTTGGGGCGAGGCAGGCGGGCGGGCGTGGGTGTGTGTGGGTGGCGTGAGGGGAGAGAAGCGGGCGCCCCTCGTGGTCCCCCACCCCCCCCAAAGCACCCGGTCAGGGGAGGCAGGCGCGGGGCAGGAGGAGGGCGGCGGGCGCGCACTCACCGAGGATGCGGATCTGCGTGACGGCGCCGTGCAGGCCGAAGAGCATCCAGAGCGGCTGCGAGGCGTCCACGCACAGCTGCATGCCTCCGGCCGCGCCGTTGTGGCTGAGGTGCAGCTCGCCATCGGCATTCACCACCAGGCCCAGGATGTCGCCGCTGTGCAGGGGCCCGGGCACGCGACACACGGCCCAGAACTCTTTGCGGTCCACCAGGGCCTCGGGGCTGAAGGGCAGGTCCGCGGGCCGCAGCGAGCCCGGGTCACACGTGGTGACGCCCACGGACAGCGCGCCGGGCCGCGCGCCGCCCGAGCGCGTGACCTTGATGAAGATGGTCTCGGCCACGCGCACCGGCCTGCTGGTGAAGACGAGCGCGCGCTCGTCGCGCCCGTGCTCCAGGCGCGCCACCGTCTGCTCGTCGAGGATGCGGACGTGCGCGCCGGCGCGCAGCGCGTGGAAGCGGAGGTCGCCGTCGAGCTGCGCGGGCAGCGCGCGGCTGTGCTGCGAGTTGAGCGAGTTCTGCGGGATGGGGCAGCCGGCGGCGGGCGCGCCCTCGTCGCCTGGCACGTTGAGGTCGCACAGGCTCACCGAGAGGCGCGCCTCGTCCGCGTCGCGCCGCAGCGACGGCCTCCGCAGCGCGGTGAAGGAGCGCGGCCGCAGGCAGTCGGGCAGCACCAGCTCGCTGTCTGTGGGGAGACACGGCGCGTCACGCCAGGCGTCCGGCCGCCGGCGGCCCTGCCCTCTAACGCCTGCTGGTTTGTGGAGTGTGTGTGCCCCGTTGCGGTGCCCAGTGCTTCCTGCCATAGAAAACGCTCGCGACAGTAACGCAGCGTCTAACTGTTCAAACAAGGGAATACGGCTGGAGGGAAAGACACCAAAATGAAAACCATACAGTTGCTTCTAAATGCTCAGGAGCTCACGGGCGCTTTCTTTGTACGTATGTGTATCTTCCTTATTTTCTACAGCAAGCGTGTGTTATACTTTTGTGAATTTTTAAGAAATGTTTACCTCTGGGACCCTCCCTTCTTATCCCCAGGACCTAGAACAGGGCTCAGCACTCAGGAGACAAACAGTAAATCTGTGCAGTGCACTGATGACCGCCTAGGGGACGCCCCAACCCGCTTTTCAGTAACTCATCTCATCTAACCCTAACGGTTACCTTCTGAGGTTACCATTGCCACACAGGGACACTGAGGCTGAGAGAAGCTAAGTAAATTTATCCAAGATATCCTCTGGAAAGTTTATCCAAGATATTTTTCCAAGAAATTGGATATTTTTTATCTAAGAAATTTATCCAAAATATCCTTTGGAAACTTAACTGGGAATCAATCAAACCCTTTCCTTTTTTAATCATACAGGTAATACAAACTGTATTCCGTAAAGAACATAGTTCAGCAAAAAGAAAAAACAATCGCCTGTCAGCTCACCACCCAGAAAAAAGCACCTTTTTTTTTTTTTGGCCACTCTGGGTATAGTGCAATGGCATCATCATAGCTCGCAGCAACCTCAAACTCCTGGGCTCAGCCATCCTCCTGCTTCAGCCTCCCGAGTAGCTGGGACCATAGGTGCATGCCACCACACCCAGCTAATTTTTCTTTTCTTTCTTTCTTTCTTTCTTTTTTTTTTTTTTTTTTTTTTTTTTTTTTTTGGAGAAACAGGGTCTCCCTCTTGCTCAGGCTGGTCTTGAACTCCTGGGCTCAAACAATCCTCCTGCCTTGGCCTCCAAAGTGCTAGGATTACAGGTGTGAGCCACCACATCTGGCCAGTACTTTTTAACATTTGGATATATGACCTTTCAGCCTTTTTAAAATGTTATTTTTGATTACTTTAATACAAAAGTTGAGTCATGTTATATAAACACCAGTAGTTTTTAACCTTTTAAGGGTAATAAATCACTTTGAAAATGTGATAACTTTAACCTATCACCCCAGGAAAAAATGCATATTCTCACTACATTCTGTGGATAATTTCAGGGTAGTCATGAACTACAAAAAGCCATCAGTGGGCATAGAATCCAGGCTGAGAACCCCACTATACAGATTTCCTTTATTACAACTAGCTTTTCTAACTTACTATATCCTAAACACCTAGCCAGACCAATAACTGTTTCCAACACCATATCCCTCTAATGGCTATGTTGTGTTTTGCTTTATGGAGTCCCATAACTTATAATAAAAATAATCACCATGTGCCATTTATTATCCCTGTATTTGCATTTTATCCTTTAAGCAGCCCATGGAGGTGTTCCCATTTTACAGATAAAGCTCAGAAATGTTATGACAGCCACCAAGTGACAGATCCAGGATTGAAGCAAGGTCTACCTAACTCCCAATGCCCAGTCTTCCTTTCCAGGCCCTCCTTGTTTGTTTAATACACATACATTATTTTAAATGTAGAGATGGGGTCTTGCTATTTGCCCAGGCTGGTCTTGAACTCCCGACCTCAAGCAATCCTCCCACCTTGGCTGCCCAAAGCACCCCTCTTTGTTGGTTGTACCCCTTCTGCATAAGTCTGTCCCCAGATTTGGCTAGTGCCACTGTAAGCCACACCACAGAACAATGCCTTCCTGGAGCCTTCTCTCTGAGCCTCTCCGAGGGAGGATCTGTGCTTTCCCTTCAGGAACAGGGTAAGGATGGCTGGGTTCCCGAGTATGACAGCAAAGCTTGGGGGATTGGTCTGGTAGGGACAGCAGAGTCCAGAATTCAGCACTGGCTGAATTCAGAGATGGCCACTAAGGCCTCCCTCTTTTTGTTTGCCCCCCCACTGCCCCTTCCAGGAACTGTGTTGTCCCAGCTCCAGCAAGGTTGGGGTGCTGGGCACTCCCCTCCCCCTGCAGCTCTGGAGAAGCCTCCTGGGGCCTGGCTGGCTAGGGTTTCCCGGCATCGAGTTGGTGAGCAGGAGGGAGCCGGCCGGAAAATGTGATTATTCCAGGGAATTGACTCTGTGACAGCGATGGTGCAGAGGCTGGGAGGTGGGGCCGGGAGGCAGGGGCAGAGGTGAAGTGGCCTTGGCAGGACTAGGAGGTATGGGAGACAGCAGAGGGGAGCTGGGGAGCACCTGTGGGCTGACCTGGACCCTGGGAAACAGCCCCTGCTCCCCTCCTCAGGGATGATAGGCACTGGCCCATGGGGACTCAAGGGTAGGAGATGGAGAGAGGGAGGGGCGGCAACAGCAGGGAGAAGAAGAATCGGAGGTGTCCAGGCAGAGCCTATAGGAACAGAGTGGGCACAGGGCCCACAGCATATGGCCCCCACACTGCCCTCCCCACCCAGTACCGGTCCATGGCCTGTTAAGGACTGGGCAGCAGAGCTCCGCCGCCCCCCACCTCCGGACCCTCACCCCCCATCCATGGAAAAATTGCCTTCTATGAAACTGGTCCCTGATGCCAAAAAGGTTGGGACCTCAGGACAATCAGTCCGCAGCTCCTGGAGCTGGGCAGGCCCTCGGCACAGGTTTCTCAACGGGGCTGAGTGTGAGCTATCTGTCCTCTGTCCCTTCGGGGGCCCTCTTCTCCTTGAGCATGCCCACTACCAGGTGCTCGCTAACCACCAGGCAACTCAGTCCACTGCCGAGCTAATCTGTCTTTAAAAGGGTCTTTCCTATGCTTGCACAGGTTTGTTTGGGGGGGACAAAAGTGCTCCTTTTCTCAAACCCAAATCTCCTTCCTTGTAACCCTCTGCCTACTGGGCTGCCTGTCAGCCAGATATTGAAGACAGCTCTCCTTGGGGAATATTCAGATGCCCCACACAGCTTCCCACCTCTTAGACAATGAGCAGAACCAGACTCAGTACTCCAGAGTACTCCCGACCAGCTCAAGGCACAGTGTACCCATCACCTCCCTTGATATGTACACTATACTTCTAATAACACAACCTAAGAGTACTTTAGGTTTTTTTAGTACACAAAATGCATATACTGATAGGCAGGATAGGAGCACGGTTAAGTGCAATGAATTTGAAGTCATCAGCCTGGGTTCCAATCCTGGCTCTGCCATTTCCTGTACGACAAGGCTGTATGACCTTGGACAAGTAGCTTTACCTCTCGGGTCCTCTCTTCTCCAGCAATGAAATCAGCATATCTCCTCATTTACATAAAATCTATATTTGTATACTCCCTTTAGAAGGAATACCGTGAAGATGCAATGGAATACGGCGTATAGGGCACCTGGTAGGGTACTTGGCACATAATAATCATTAGGTTAGTATGAGCCACTGTTGTTTACATGCCACGTGGTTCAGAAGAAAGTGCACGGGCTTTGGGGTGGTCCAGGCCTAGGTTTAAATGTCTGATCCGGCACTGGACTGATGGCCTTTGGGTAAGCAACTTTCCGCCCAGCCTCAATGGCCACCTAGAGGACAGAGGTCACAATACCGGCCCTGAGATGCTGGTGCAGGATGAGAGGTAGATTGGAATACCCATGGCTCCCAGAAGGTACCTCACAACTTCAGATCTTAGTATCAGCTCAGGTTGAGCCAAGTCTCAATCAAAGGTCAGGCCCACCTGCGCTCAGACCATTGGCTTTTTGAACCTTAATGCAGGACTTTTACATCAGTCGTGATGGACACCCGGGAAATACTCAGTGGATGAAATCACTGACTAAAGACCAGGGAGAAGCAACTGAAAAGATAAGAGGAGAAAAAAGAGAAGGAAAAGAGAAACAGTGGAGGGGAGAGAGAGAGGAGAAGGGGGTAGGAAGATGACCCCTGTAGCCTTGCTCGAAATATCGCTGGGGCTGGAGGGGAGGCACAGGAGCTGCTGGGAGACCGCAAAAGCAGGATGAGTCCTCGGCATCCATGTCAGCCCAGGCATGTCTTTCTCCCTGCCCCTCCACCCCTCAGGGCCAGGGGCAGCTGCAGGCAGCCAGCAAGCTCCAAAATAACCGTCCCACCAGTGGGCCCAGCAGTGCCGAGACCCTGAAATAGCTGAAACCCGAGACGGAGGAGCTGGTCAGAGCACCTTCCTCAGGAGGGACAGCAAAGGTCACAGCTGAGTGAGCCGACACCAAGTAGGAGGTCAGGGCAGCGTCTGGGCCCCTGGGCCATGAGAGAACACCACGGGACCAGCCTCAGCTCAGGACTGCACCTGGGATAGGGCTGAGAAGAACCTAATGGCAACCTGGAACTCTAAGAAGTGGGGTGGCCCCACATTTGGAAACAACAAGTTATGTAATCAGTGCCGGACACACGCTCGTGTCGCCCACTGTGGAGGTGTTTATGATGGGGGAGGGATGGCACAAGGCCACCGAGAAGCTGCTGAGCTGGCTCCCCTCACATGTCCCCTCTTTCAGGAAGGAGGCGGTCATTCTTTAGCTCTTGCCTGTTCTGGCACCTGGCAGCATCTCTCCAGGTACCCTGGGCCAGGGCAGGAATTACCAGGCCCTGAAAGGGCCAGGAGGTCCAGGCTGGGTGTTTCCTCCCGCTGGCTGGCACTCAGGGCACCCACTCACTGACCTGCTATGTGCCCAGCCCTGTGCCGGGGGCATGTGGAGAGGGAGGAGCCAGTAGCCTGTCAGGGAGCCAAGGCTTAGAAGCAGGAAAACATCTGAATACAATTTACTTACAAGAGTCTTATTACTTAGTACAATTTACTTACAAAAGTCTTAGTCTTTCAGATTAGACAGGACCTTAGAGGACGGAAACTAAGGAACTAGGAAATCCCTTTATCCTTGCCAAGTTCTCACTCTGCC